TCGTTATTGACATTACAAAGTTACATTTTATGATATAGATCGACTTCCCTCAGGTAGTTTAGTATCAGATGAGCGCTCACGCTGGAGAACAGATCTTTCAGATTAGTTGCGTGATAATGCGAGTCCCTTGCAGATGTAAAATCCACACAGTCAAGCAGAATCCTGCTCCTAAAAGCTCCCAGGCAGAGCCTTAGTCCTTGGTGGTGGATAGAGTCTAATTTTTCTAAATTGCTTTTGCAGGCTCCACCGTAGACAATGGAGCCATAATCCAGTTTACTGCGGACTAATGATCTGTACAGGTGAAGGAGGGTGGTCTGATCCCCTCCCCACTCTGTATTTGAAACTACTTTTAGCAAGTCTAAAGCCTTCAGGCACTTTGTTTTCACATATTTTATGTGTGGTAAGAATGTCAGGTGGCGGTCGAATATGAGTCCAAGGAATTTGGCCTCTTCTACTACTTTGATGGGAGTACCATCTAAAGTTAGGTCTGGATCCTTGTGTGGTTTGTATTTACGACAAAAGTGAATACAATTCGTTTTGGATTTTGAAAACCTAAAACCATTTTCATTGGCCCATTTTGGATTTTGTTAAGGCAGAGTTGTAGCTGCCTTTCTATTGCGTGCATGTTCTTACCACGACATGAAATATTGAAGTCATCCACGAAAAGGGACCCATCAACGCAACTGTTCAGAACGTTAGTGAGGCTGTTAATTTTGATGCTAAAAAGTGTGACAGACAGGATGCTGCCTTGGGGGACGCCCTGATCTTGGTGGAAGTAGTCAGACAGTGTGGAACCCACCCGAACTTGGAATTGTCTGTTATTTAGAAACCGAGATATGAATTGAGGTAGTCTACCCCTCAATCCAAACTCGTGTAAATCTTTTAGGATACCATGTTTCCATGTTGTATCATATGCTTTTTCTAAGTCGAAAAAGATAGATACTGCATGTTGTTTGTTGACAATGGAGTTTTTGATGAATGCTTCCAGACGCACCAGATGGTCAATGGTACTTCGTTTTTTTCGAAACCTTATTGGAGGTCACTGAGGAGGTTATTGGTCTCCAAGTACCAGATTAATCGATTGTTGACCATGCGCTCCATGGTTTTGCAAACACAGCTAGTTAGTGATATAGGACGGTAGTTTGAGGGATCAGTATGGTCGCGACCTGGTTTTGGTATAGGGATGATGATGGCATTGTGCCACGAAGGGGGGAAGTGTCCGGATGTCCAGATGTCATCAAATATATTTAGGAGTGTTTCCAAGCCTATGTCAGGGAGGTGTTTCAGAAGCTGATAATGGATTTCATCAGCTCCTGCCGCAGTGTCGTGAGCCTGTCCTAGGGCAGTACGTAATTCATGGAGGGAAAACGTTTCGTTGTAATCCTCCCCATTATCAGAGTTAAAATTGACTGGTTTCTTTTCTTGTTGGGTTTTGTATTTCTGGAACTGAGGGTTATAATTTGATGAGGAGGAGTGGTTTGCCAAAGTTTCGCCACGTAATAGTGAGTTAGTGTTTAGTTTTAAACAGCTTTAAGTAATATTCCAGCAATATAACGGCGGGGGGACACCAGAAATGGGCTTCACACATTGTACCCATATGGGGAATCAAACCCAGGGCCCCGCAAAGATCTCTCGTAGCATTCGTACTCCCTATGTTACAGTATAGGAGATACGAATGCTACGAGAAAAGTTACGAGAACGTAGGCTTACGAGAGCTTTGTAAAACGGGGCCCTGGTCTACGCCTCGACGAGCGAACGCTTTAACCACGAGGCGAACCACCGCCCCTATTGAGGGAAGTCAATATATGTTTCAGCAGTGTGATGAAGCAACACCAAGCCTCTAAAACAGAAAACAATGTCCCATGTCTATTGATACCACCAATCATCCTGCTGAGTGACTGCATACGCATTGTGAAGAAAGCATGGGAGAGAGAGGCAAAGATTTCTTTAAACCATTGTAGATCTAAATGTATTTTGCATTTATGTGTGAGTGTACATGTGCTATGCAACTATATATGTGATACTTAACAGAAATAAAGAATGATCAACAAAGTAATGACTTGTTTTCTTTGAAGACAAGGGACCTGGTTACAATGGCACCCTGGATATAATGCCATATTTTCTCCTGAACAAAGAGTGGCATTATATCCAGGGTATACTGTATTTGTTTCGGTCGTATTTCAGACGTAAGAAATTCCATTGGGTGTCAAAGTCAACCTACCAGTGAAACCTGTATGAAAGCTGAAAATGACAGATGACATCAGGTTTTCGCGAAAATGATAAACATGTCCTGCCCAACCGGTGTGGTGAAGTGAAATGGGGTTTAACGTCGTGCTTGAGAATATTTCGCTCATAGGACGACGTGCATGCTTGTGTATGTGCATGTGCGGCTGCTTGTACTAGCCCAGACTGAAGCTGGTTTTATAGTTCTAGTCCACTGAGATACCATGTCGCAGTGAAGCATGTCTCAGACACATTATACTGACTCCGAGCCGACCAGTCCTTGTTGTACCGATTAATGCCGAGCACCAGGCAGGGACAAAAAGTACCATATTTTAACGTCTTTTGGTATGACTGCCCTACCGGAGACACGCCCGCCACACCATGTGCATGAACATGTCTGTCCGGTTCCTGATAACGGAAAACCTAAGCCATCAAATGCGTGTTAAAAAGTTACACTATTGTCAAAGGACATAGCCTAGTTTATGGATTACACCGTTTGTCTTTGTTAACGGAAGCTTAGTGAGGGAATGTGATCTATTAACTCTTAAAATCTCTCTCCACTGTGACATTTTCCTGTTAATGGATTCCACGAATGGTCTTCAAAATACGGATATGAGGGATTATAGACAATACAACACCGACACATTTGTGTTCACGTTGTTCAACCGACGCACGACGTGTTCTACGGTAACACGACACTGCAGCACCTTGGAGAGTCACGTTCATGTGGGCAACCTAGAGCTGGTATTGCACAAGTGTTTCAATACTGAGCAAACCTTGTTGAACTCTTCGTGTTTTGTTGTCTATTTTTCGTGTACAATGAGTGATGTGCCATACACGCTAGTCATTTACGCATCCCAGCAATGCTATACTGTTGTCCGACATTTCACAATGCAGAAAGGCTTAAAACCAATACCATGCACATTTGAAATGATAAATGAAGAAAAGAGGACGCCTGAGTGTGTGGGTTGGGTTCAACATAGCTTGATCAGGGTTGATGCTTGGATGATTCCCATTTTGGTGAAACCCATGAGACAGAAATGACGTGACCAAAGACACAACAAGTGTTTGCCATTGATATGGCAATGTCCCCCGCCGCTAAAGAATGGAATATGTAAAACACATTTACTACTTTTTATTTTTTGGTCACATACAAGATGCCTGAAATGAAACCAGATGAATCCGAAAAGCCTCAGACTTTCAAAGTGTCCCCTTTAGAAACGAGATTACTATTCTTTAAGGTATATTTTGACTTGCATTCTATCAGAGTATGGGAGAGGAAAGATGGAGGCATTGCGTGTATCTGGGTGATAGACATTCAGTCTGCGACAGGATTCTTAAAATACGACACAAGTACACCAAACAGTTTGAAACAGCTAAAGTCTGATGTCTTTCAGTGGCATTTAGAAGTTGTACATTGATGTCCAAGATATTTTTTATGGATTAAACTTCTTTTTAAATTTCTCTCACAACGTTTCGAGACCATTCCAGGTCCCTTCATCAGGTTCACCTGATGAAGAGACCTGGAATGGTCTCGAAACGTTGTGAGAGAAATTTAAAAAGGTTCACCTGATGAAGGGACCTGGAATGGTCTCGAAACGTTGTAAGAGAAATTTAAAAAGAAGTTTAATCCATAAAAAATATCTTGGACAGCTAAAGTCTGGTTATGAGTGAGTGAGTGAGTGAGTATGTTTTTATGCTGCTTTTGGCAATATTGCAGTAATATCATTGCTGGGGACATCAAACATGGGCTTCACACACTGTACCCATGTGGGGAATCGAACCAGGGTCTTCGGTGTTACAAGCCAATGCTTTAACCACAAGGCTATACTATACTAGAGGACACTATACGAACTGGCTGAAGACACCTGGAGTTAAATCTGATTTGTCCACACTTTCTTTGTGACAGTTGTACATGCGGTATCGTTAGGGGAAAACAACAAGTCCTCTACAAAAACCTGCTGGTGGGGGTCAAATTTGGCTTAAACCCCAACCAATGATATTCCAACTGAATGATTGAATTTAGTTTTACGTTTAGCAATATTCCAGCAATATCACGGCGGGGGACACCAGAAATGGGCTTAACACATTGTGCCCATGTGGGGAATCGAACCCGGGTCTTCGGCGTGACGAGCCAACGCTTTAACCACTAGGCTACCCCACCGCCCCACTGATATTATGAGAAACAATAGTTGTAATTATAGGCCGGGATGCAAATCTTAAAAAAAAACACATTGGTTTCCCAAGTAGTCTTCCATTGGCTACTCCTCAGCAGTGTAGATGCTATCTGCCCGTAAGTGACAGGACTGTAACGACTATGGGTGCCTGGCAAGAGTCTGGCGATGTCAAAGCTCAACATTGGAATTTATTACTAGAATAGATAGTGCCTTAGATTAAATGCCCTGACAACCCTTTCACGATATACGTTGATGACTAAAGAGATTAATTTGATTAGCATATATGAAATTTCAAATTTTACGTATTTTCTGAAAATAAAATCTTCCAACATGGTGATGTCAGCATCAAACAAGTGTACAGCCCTAACCCTGAACGACCAAATCTAGCCACAATCTCTTTGCAGGAATGGCTCCAGCTCTCTACCCATGTGTGAGTCAACGAGCCTGACCACCCGATCTCGTGAGTCGCCTCTTACGACAAGGATGATCACATGGGTTTCTGAAGACCAATTCTAACCCGGATGTTCACCGGTTCTCCATCCATAAAGACTACAACTTGAATAGAAACCAAACGCACACATCAACGACAAAAGACCAACGTAGGTATTTAAACAACTTTTTATTCAAAGACCGTATTTGATCATTAATATACCCTTCAAGTTCCAGTTTTCATATGGTAACAGAAGGGCTTGGACAGACATGAAACTCAATCCATACAAAATATCAACGCTGCAGTGATTTTTGTAATCTCATGGCGGATGTGGTACACTCGTCTCTGACATGTTTGTGTTGTAGCAGAAAGAAGAAAACCGTGACCATGGGAAAAATGTACACATGAAGACACGGCAAGGAAGAGTTCTTGCTGCAGATGAAAACAGATCACTGTGACCTCGTAAAACAGTTGAAGTTAACTCACCCTTGTGCTGATCTTCATCTTCTTTCAGAAGACAGACTACACTGGAGAGTGAAGTTGTCAGTGTATTTTTAAACGGTACAATGTAAGGAAGTTATACTGTGGATTTACATGTAAACATGCAAATGAAAATGACACCAACAAAGCCCCAAATGCTTCCTTCAAATAAATGACAGAAAAATATTATAAATGACAGAAAAATATTGTAAATGACAATAAAGAAATGAATAACCTTATCAAAGAAACGCGTAATACAGACTGAAAGGTGCACCTGCAAAAATGAGGCAGTTTTAACAGAGACACTAACAGGAGCAGCAAACAGCAGTTCTTGGATAATCTGATCGGGTCATTTGAGCGAAGCATTGAGGAGGCTTGAGGTAAATGTTGTTGCATGCCACAACTGTTACAAGGAGCCCCCTCCTCCCCCACTCCATTTAACTACAAGCATACACAACTCGATACTCAAAACCCCACTCCAACATCACAACAGGGACAAAACTGGAGGGAGGAGGGTGTGTGGCAGGGTTGTATTCTAGCCCCAGTGTGTTCTATACTAAACACTGACATTTCAAAACAGTCATGTAAGCACACTCAGGTCTATCCTACTGGTCCATAGAATATAATTCATCTTATTTTTGTTATTTTCTCTATTGTCTGTTAGTTTTTTGCAAAGTTATTTTTGTTATTTATTTTTAAAAAATAACTTTAATTCAAATAAAGTTCAGAAAATAGACCATTTATATTTTATTATTTTTCACGTTATTTGTTTTTCTTCAAGGAAGTTTTACATCTTCAAAACAGTGAAACACTCAATACACTTACTCTAGCGATGCATGCATGAACAGTATGAAATGAACCATTGAAATTCAGCATCAGATAACACCACCATGAGGCAGAAACAACCAAATTTATGTTATTAACATCTATCTTTTACCTTTCTCAATATTCTGGGATTCTTCTACATTTCGCGGTCAACATCCAAACATATAGCAACTTAACTGGTTTTTACAAGTTGAGATATTTTAAGTTATAAGCAAAGACAATACCATGTAACAGATTCACTTTTCTTTAAACATGTAACTCCAATGTTAAAGCATTACCGGGATGGAGTGTTTCTAATTATGGTATAAGAATGAACTTGGATATATGCATCAGTTAGTCTGTAATCATTGAAAAAGTGTGGATTGGTGGGCAATGGTTAAGAAGAGATGCAGATGGGCAATCAGCATGAAGAGACCAAAAAACAGCCTTAGAATCTTATGTAAAAGTATGTACCTCTTGTCTTCTCCAAATGATCACGTGATATTCCAAACACTATAACTTCATAGTTAGAAAAATTGAGGTCAAAATAATAATAGTTGCCCAGAAATTATATGTCAACAACTAGACTCTTTCCAAAAAGTAAAGTAAAAACTGAAATTCTTTTTCGATAGTTCCTCAAACTTGAAACAAGAGTACTCACAGTCAGGACTGAAAACTGTCATCACAGTGAGAGAGACATCACTTACCACTGTCAGTAACATAAAGTCAGAGATGCTTCATGGATATGTAGATATGAATACAGATGCATGATTCATTCACTGAAGAATATGGTGATATTTCAACAGATTGAATCATATTTAAATAAATGATAAAAATCAATTTCAAAAAGAGGTTTGAGATGCTTCTTTCATATTAATGTAGTAGATCATTTCTTATGCTTGTTTGTACAGCAACAAAGTTATATTGGTACAAGTAACAAAGCATGAGAATATAAATTAAGAAACGAATTAAATAAAAAAATTCCACAATGTCCATGGTCCTTGTTAATGGTTATGGTAGCCACTGCATCTCATGATGCCCTTCTACCATTTTCTACATATTTACAAATGTTACACGTTTAGGTCTAAATATACATCTCCAATCAGAGCTACACCTACACTTAAATAGCTTTCCGTGTCATACAAATAGTCGTTCAAGTAAGAAACAAATGTACACCTATATACACTGTTTGTATTTCTGTACATACTGTTCTGGCACCCATGGTATGTTGTATATTCAAATATAAGTATATTGTATATGAGAAATATGCAGTAATTGTAACTACTAACTTTCTGGACTATTTAGACCTGATTTTCACAAGATTTTTAAATTCCTAAATTTTGTTTCAATGTAATGTTATCTGCTCAAGGAAGATGTTCATAAAAGAAAATCTATAACTTTATCATTTTAATTTTTCATCTTAAAAGCCAACTGTTAATACAGGGCACAAGATACAGAATTTAGAAAGAAACAATTTTTCATAAATTCACAATATTCATAGACATGATTAACATATTTCAAGTTTTATCCTCAAAATCGGTGTGAAAATCAGGCCTCAACACCATTATGCAGCACTTTCAAAAGGAAAACAAAGCATAACAATTTATAAGCACTCTATATCTGGACTAAACTATCAACAGCATGAAGTATCTACATGACTTCCCTTGGTCTTCATGACACAGTATACTCCTGAGATAGACCAGCCCTGCAGGGACTACACTGATGATGCCCTACACAAGCTGCTGTCTGTCCAGTTCATGCTTCATCCAGCAGTCCTCTGCCCTTTGTCACTGATAACGTATCATGATTAACAAACACACTTCAGAAGACAAAGAGGGTTTTTCTTGCCAGTTGTCATCGATACGAAGACAACTGGCCCAAGTCTACACTTGATCTTCATAGGAATCACTTGGAACTTATGACATCTGAAGATGTGGATGGTGTATGAATAAGGCAGGACTTCTGATTTGGACCCAGATTTGGATGGACCCTTCTATCAGCCTTAAGGACCAACCATTGATCTTAGTAGTAGTAGGAATGACTCTGATTTAAGACAATAAGCATTTGGTAATTCTTTCAATAAATTAAGTTTCAAGCAAAAAGAAAAAACATTTTTAACCAGCATTTTTTTTCCAGCTGAACATTTGTTGAAAGATGAGGAAAACTATTTTTCGGACCAAAACATTTTGGGGAAAAAAGCCCCAGTTTTGTCTACAAAATGGTTGGTCCCTTCAGCCAAAGGACTGCTGCAACAACAGGAACCTATCAGACAGACGATGTCTAGACACTGTACTGTCCTTTATGAATCACTAGTACCAGACACACCAACAGGTGGAGCTTGTGGCATGAATCATATCATCAACTTTCACACCATACCACAAAACTCTGTGCACGTGTCAATATATACACAATGAGGCGTGATGACAGATCATGTAACAAGCATGCACACAGATGCGCAAGTGTTGGGTGGCTGCAGTAGGGGAAGAGATGGGCACGATGGGAAACTACTGGATACCATCCAGATGCTGTTTCTAAAGTAAAGGACAGGACAGGACAGTGTCTACAGGTTAGAAGATCAATATAGAGACATAGAAATGGTGCTTCTGTAACTTAATCTTAATCATAACAAACTTGAATTTAAACTTTCAAACAAGCTAAGTATGTTTTGATTCCTATGATGTGTTGAATCCAAAAGCAGCTAATGTGCGTCTTTGAATCGTGTCCTGTAGAACTCTATCGGTGAAGGCTGACATCTGTGAAGGAGACCATGTTCCATGTCTGTCTCTTCAGATGTATGGTCTCCACAACACAGTCAACAACCTGTAGAAAACCAGTGCTCATGAAGGTGGTTGCAGATGAGAGAGAGCCATGCAGAAGATCTGTACAAGTATCACAATGGCTTCGGTTCTGATAGAGCATGACACTGACCGAGACGTCCCAGCATGCAGCTATCACGCCACCACCTCCATCCCCAGCTGTGGAGAACCACCCACGAGGAGTCCGACTCCTCCTCCTCCTTACACCGTTCCTCACACCAGCCTCTGCCACCATGACCGTCCCGTGCGTGGTGGCCCCACCCTACCTTGTAGACGGTGGGGCTGGTGGATGGGTGTCTGCCTGAGTGGGAGAGAGCACCAGATGATGTTCACAGCTAAGTAGCTAGGATGTGGTATGTATGTATTATGATGTGGTGGCGGTGAGCTCAGCCAGTGTAGGGTAGAGCGCCACGAGGAAGGCAAACAGGAGCATGAGAAGAGGTATACTGGAACAGAAGGACAGCTGCAACAAAGAAAACACCAACATTAATAAGTCTGGAATACCATGGAATAGATAGGACAATTTTTCTAATGATTTCTTTCATGGATATTTTAGCAAGACTTTCAGAAACTAGCAGAGAAAATAGAAGATAATTTCTTTTCTAAACAAAAGGACATTCCTGGATACAGCAAAAGATGGCCATTATAGGATTTCAGGATGATTCTTTCATGATTCATCAGGATGAGTCAGAGTTAAATCGAGACAAAGAAAACTTTCAAGAAGATAGTGAAGCTGTTCTGTAGGTCACTGACCACTTTGCTCTTGTCCGCTAGTTGTCGATATTCTTCTAGCACGCCATCCATCTCTTTCTTGAGATGGTCGATCTCAGCCACATATTCGTCACACTTGGTCCTCAACTGGTGCAAATCATCCATACATTTTACACACTGGATATTGAAACAAACATTCAAAATGCTCACTTGTTTGAAATATATCATTTAACATTTACGTATGTTCAGTGCAGCCAAACAACAATAACATTTTAATGTCAAAATTACAAATGAAAGTCATGAGATCCTTGTCAAAACCCCAATGTTAAAAGTTAAAGAATAATGGTATCCCTATTTCTGTTCCAAATAATACAGGAAGTAAATCACAGAAAGGATTCAAGCATTTCTGCTACATCAATAAAAGCAAACAAAAAATTGTGCAAAATGTCATCAATGTGAACAATTGATTAATCACAACATTTTAGTCACTGCAAATTTCAAACCAGTTTAAACAAAACAGATTATATGTACCGCTTATGCATGCAGTTCACACAAACTGAGGTCAGACCAGAAATAAATCTGCTGAACCAAAAATACTGACATACTTGTTAATGAACAAAGTTCTAACTGTTATTGATGATGACATGAGAATGGAATACATGACACACACAATGAAATGGGACAGATGATATCACCATGCTGTGAATAACTAACATGCTTCACTCAATGCTGGTTATCACTTCCGAATAAACAACTTGCTCTTTAGATGATTCCACAAATAATTCGTAAGTTCTTCTTTGAAATGTTCAGTTTGGGAAAGTCATATGACTTAACACGAGCACAATTTACTAAGTTAAAAACATGACAAAACACTGAATATCAAAATGGATTTTCCAAAACAAACCTTGTTTAAAAGAGATAATTATTTTGATGCTTACAGAAACAATTACATATAATAATAATTTTAAAAATCAGTTTGATTTCTTTACAATAGATTATGGCCCCTGAGGGCCAATCAAAAAGAGTATTAGAGGTACAGAAGCTCACCTTTATTTAATGGGATTCATGACTTGGATATGGCATTGATATTAAGTTCTCTGAATGTTTTCTGAAATGTTTTACCTTTAAAGACACATTGACGTACAAAAACAGAGAGGCTGAGAAATGTGTCTGTATAATACTCCTGACAATGTTCAAGTGATTTTATAGTAAAATGGTATACAAAACTGATTTCTGCCACTGCTGGTCATGTGGACATTTCCCAAGTTAAAACAATACTTCTTGTGAAATCTTATTTTGATTATTTGAGTCTTACAGTTCTGCAGAAAAAAAAAGATAGTTGACACAAAGGCTCAAATCTTCACTAAAATATGTTGTATCAATGGCCATTTTGAAACTGGGAACATGTAGATTTTCAGGGAGTGGATTCAATAAAAACACTTTTTCATTCTGTGCTAATGTATGGGTTTACAAATGAAAGACAGACAAAGATCTGTTTTGTAATCTTGTTTCAAAATTGTCACATACGACGTATACTCTTGAAAATTTAGGTTCCTAAGATAGGCCAATCCTTCAAACTTACAAAGATATATTTTCAAAATCATAACTTGAATCTTCAAGATACATATTGAATTTTTACGAACTGATAAATTTTCAAGATGTTTTGTTAACCTAGTGAGTGCTTAGGTTTGGTTTCAATGCTGTTTTCAACATTGTTTCAGTCAAAAAGTTGCTTTAAATATCTGAAACACACAACACATACAAAGATATTTCAAATGACCAGAGAAGACTTCTATAATACACATCTAATATTCATTAAAAAAATGAAAACAAGAAAAAGATAATTCTATCAACATCCAAACACCAAACAAAAGACATTCCCAAACTAAACATAAACTATTTGAAATTCCAAAAGTAAACTCAAAAGTGCCAAACGTCAGCCAAATAAAAATGTTTAACATAAGAAAGCTGCTGCTGAAGCTGCCTGCAGACACCAACTGATTGCATGGTGAAATACCTGGGTCCCGTTTACATGAGGTGTGCACGTAGCGGCGGCGCTGCCTGATGCTGCTGCTGTCGTCTGACCAGGCCTCACCTCCTGTTTGCTCTGTTCTGCATCTTTCTGAGCGTCCGTCAAGTTGAGCCTGTAGGCCGACTCACTGGACTCCAATTTCTCCTTCAGTGCTTCCAGATTCTTGTAGGATTCTTGAAGTTTATTGTACTCTGAGGAGAGTTGGAGATTTTCTCGCCGAGACCTGATCAAGAAAGAATATATTGTAACAATAATGAATCAGTGTTTTTTTTACCAATTTAACAATCAGAAAAAGCATCCTAGACAGAAATTAAAAATTGGATCGTCTACATGGTCAAAAAACCAATTCAAACTGTTAAAGTCAAAACCGTAACACAGAAAATACAGAATACCAGGATCAACTCAACATTTTCAGGATCAACAGCTTCTGTAGATTAGAACTTCCATATATTTTGACAAAGAAGACTTTTATTGACATTTTGAAGATGCTTTTAGCAGCCTTTTGCAATATTCTGGCAATATCACACAATGAGATGGGCTTCAAACACTGTACCCATGTGGGGAATCGATCTCTGGGTCCCCGACATTAACCACTAGGCTACCCCACAAACCCCAAAATTATCAGGGACTAATGGCAGCACAAACCAGTGGTGACACTTACATTTTCATCTCAGCCTCTATTGCTTGTATCCTCTTCCTCAGGTTGGCACACTCTTCCTTCAACGCCATGAATTCTGCTGGAGATACGACCAAATTACTCACACTGGCATCTCCAGGAGTTATCATGACATGACCAATGGTGCTGGATGTGCAACGATCTAACCGCAATGCTACTTTCAGAGAATGAACATCTTACAATGATATCACAGCAGTGCTATGTAATGAATAATGTGGATGATATCAAATAACAAGATTCCATTCCAAGAATGAAGAACAATGGTTTCCAAAACACTGACGACCAACTTGACATTGGCAAATACAACACAAGACCGGGCCAATAGAAGGGAGACAGCATTACCTCTGGTGCGAGCAGACTGACGACTGGAAAATGAATCGCTGCGGGTATTTTTGGATCCGTGAGAATCTCGTTTGTCTTTTTTCTCCGGCTCTAACTCCTCCTGGAGGTGCTTAAGCTTGTCTAGAGTGAGACAGGATACAAATAGTCTTAGAAAGTCTTGCACTAAGTCATTGGAGTAACCTCAAAGTCTAGTACCCATGCTGTTAGCTGGCATGCTATTTCAAGGCTGGCCATGCACTGTCCAAACTGACCTTATTACAAAAGGTTTTCATTCTCTGTAACTCTATTCAACTCTCTAAACCCTTTTCATGCTAACTTCATTCCTAGACCCTAATCTTAACCTAAGACTGCTTTTCAGAATTTCATATTATAAATATTTATGAACAGAATCAACCATCACACATGAGTGGATAATAACAACCCACATATGTTTTAGCCAAAGCCTATCCCAGGAAAATCAATTACATTAGTAACCCAAATAAAAACAGACCGAACAGACATCCTTGCTTTACACCCTCATTTGCCTACACAACCCATGCACATGTTTCTAGGTACAGAAAAGATGCATCAACAGAGAGAAGAACCACTTGCACAGGACAAACTTGGCCATCCTCAGATACCCAGGCTTCAAGAATCTCCATCAACACAGGATAACTGACCGCTATACTTAGACAATCACTAGCTTGTTGAAACCCAGGAGCATTGGTATTGTGTTGGCCCATCTTAAAACTTAATCAGGGCAAATCTGGGATTCAAACCCACATTCGTACTCTGCTCAGATAATTGCAAACCCATATTCTACATGGCCACCTGAGCCCTGAATTGTTATAGAATTGTTTTGGAAGGCAAAAAGTCAATTAGGGTATGATAATGTGAACATCGACATGTCCTGCAGAAGTAAGATCCTGCAATTACACACAAAAGGCAATGACTAAGTATCTTTAAACTGTATATACTTTCAAATGGCATCCTGGCAGTCCTTATTCTAATTTCAACCATTAAAAAATATTACTGAATTCAGGCTTTTTTAAACTGTGGGCTCTTAAAACTGACTGAATACAAACATATTGATATCAATACTACTTCCAGTCCATTTCAAACAAACACATCTCATATAAAGGAATTTACAACCATAGATCCATGCTAACAATGTAGGGGTGTAATAAATAATTATATCAATGTGGCAAGCTGGTAATATTTCCATCATGTATGTTAAAGGAGACTTAAAGTATTACTGGGAGATAGAAGCCGCCTGGGTAACAGAGGGGGCCTGTAGAACCAGCTGCCGGACCCAGACATAGTCAGGCATCAGAGACAACCAGAGCTTGGGGGTCAGACAACATGCAGGTATAATGACAGGAGGGAGGCAAACTCACATCCAATGTTAATGAAACAAAATCTCTGCATGGAATGGCATGAAAATGAACTGATGAACAATGACGATGGAAGCATGCGTTCTGATTACAGTCTGTTGAAACTGATTGCTGTGGCGTTTATAATGTCATGGTTTGCTAATAGTTATGCCATGCATGTTAATATGAACTTCATACTTCAATGCACATGCTAGTTACGATGTTTACTTAATTGTTATTCGTACATTGTGTGATTACAAAAATTACCAAATGATTTTTCCTTCAACAAATTAACAATATTACTTTGGTGCAAACAAAATTCTGAGGACGAACATACATGAAAAAAGATTTATGACAAAAAGTTTAACAATATATGAAGAATCATGAGACAAAATGATCATACTAAAGAGATACTGACACTTCCAGCCAAAATGTGGGGGTTTTAAGTAAAAACATTATTTTATACTAAGGCCAGACCAATTTTATTTCTTGTTTTACAGATCCACCTGTCGTATTTTTTCAAGAATAAGAAAAAAAATAAAAATTAATTTTCCCCGCTCAAAAAATATGTAAACTTACAAGAAAAATGTTTTTTAGATTGTTTTTTGCCCCATATACCCTTCATAAATTGTCAAAAGTAAAATACCTTGATTATTTAGAAGGAATATTACTTTGACTGGTGATTTTATTTTTATTTTTTTTCCCTCCTGCCTTTTAGGTTTTCTGAGGACAAAAATCCGTAAAACAAAGAAATAAAATTGGTCTGGCCTTAAACTGATTCAAACTATTTACAGCTCTCTCCCTTCTGTGTCATGTTCCCCAATAACTGGGAAAACATGTCACCTGAACGCACCCCACCATGTGACAGCGATGGTGTGCATGCGCAGTAGTGGGTTGCGTTTGGGTGAGATGTTTTCACTGTTCTTGGGGAACATAACACAGATGTTTCCACTGTATCTCGGGTTAAGGGAGAGAGAAGTAAATGGTATGAGTCAGGATAAAGTAATATTCGATGCTTTCATCCTAATTAGGTTTTACTAAATTTGACCAAATGCAGTTTAAAATTGTAACCGTTCAGAAAATGCTGAATACTTGATACAGTTTACAAGGAAGAACCGAACAAGACTAATCACGTCAACAACGTAGCAGTAGAAAACGGCTTACACGATAGTAGGACAGAATGTTCAACTTGGCCAACATGGAAATGTAATGAATTGCTGTCATGATCATGATCCGTTTGGTTTGGTTTGGTTGTTGTTTAACGCCGCACTCAGCAATATTCCAGCTATATGGCGGCGGTCTGTAAATAATCACATCTGGACCAGACAATCCAGTGATCAAACAGCATGAACATCTTTCTAGACAATTGGGATACAATGACATGTGTCAACCAAGTCAGCGAGTTTGACCACCCTATCCTGCAAGTCGCCTCTTACATCAAGCATGGGTTACTGAAGACCAATCCTAACCCGGATCTTCACGGGTCTGATTCTGATCCAGTGATCAAAGTAGCCAGCCTATCTCAGCTGATCTCTATATTAGTATGTAGGATCAGCTAATAGTGAATGTGTACTAAAGCTCATAACACAATGATACAACCAATAATGTTTCAATCATGTCCAATTCATTAGGGCTGGCTATCGACATACATCATAGACATTGATAATCATTTACAACTTATTGATTGATTATCGATAAAAACCGGAGAAATATATTGAGCAAAATGCTGGGAAGTCTGAGAGAAATGAATATATTTCACATCAATGGCGAGAGTTGGCATGTCTATGCATGGATTACCAACAAAACAGCCTCCAAAATATAATTTAGAAGCAATCCATAAATAAAACCTAACTTTGTGTATTGTGTGAATAAAATAGAACCATCACAAAGAGTTATGTATGATATAATCGATAACACAATATTCATAGCGATAATCATTAATAATTTTTCCTGTCAACGACATTTCCGATTATAAATCTTTTTAGCCAGCCCTACAAATCACAGATGATGTGTATTCCAAAGGAACTTTCCCTTCCAAAAGACATAATAGTTTAGTAAGAAAGCCTTACTTGAGTGTCTGACGAAAACAAGCGTATCTTGTAATTGTGAGGCACAAATTGGTTTTGTGTGTATTACCTGATAACATAGCATAACTGTCAACTCTGTTGGAGTCATATGTAATTATATATGAGACGTTACAACAAATGTCATAAGTTACTTTACTTGTTCTTGTAACACATTGCTTGACCTTTTATGAGTCATTCCAATGTTATATAAGAACTGTACCAGATATTATTGATTTCCTAGTTCTTATCACAGAAGACATCAACATTTAGGTTCCTTAATTTTCACTTTTCAGAAATTAAATGAATTTCTTCAAAAAAAACATTTGAAGATAAATAAAGATTTTTAAGGATACTAACTTTTGCAATGAATAATGATTTGGGGCCATAAGATATCAGTCACTTTAAGTCTGAACAAATATCAGGATTACTTTTACATTATTCTAGGAGTGTCTTAGAGTGTCAGAAAATTGCCTAAGAACCCCTACTAAGATGGAGGTGAAGGCATTTACTACCTTGCAAAGTCCCTGAGCACCTTTGTGGTGTGGACAACCTCAGATCATAATCAGGGTCAACCTAGTACCCCATCCCAAATGATCAAACAGGCTACTGGCATGACTGAGTGATTGGGTTTAGTTTACGCCGTTTTTAGCAATATTCCAGCAATATCACGGCTGGGGACACCAGAAATGGGCTTCACACGTTGTACCCATGTGGGGAATCAAACCTGGGTCTGCAGCATGCTGAGCCAACACTTTAACCTCTAGGCTACCCCACCGTCATGAATCTGATCCTAACTTTCGAAACCAGCTGCAGACTCCATATCACAAACACATCCAATTGTCTGCAAACATTGAAAACCAAGTCTTCTACGAAGTTATTAACATGTGACAGCTTACTTCGGAGTTGTTCAGCCTCGTTGTGACTTTGTTTGGCGTTCTGTTGAGCTTCTTGTAGCTGCCCTGGAACACAACAAGCAATGTTAACACAAACCAAGACCAGACATTGGCTAACCGTCAGATTATCAAACAGGGCAAGATAAGATTGTGACAGTGACAAATATACCACCCAGTTTCTAAATATCTGCAGTACATGAACTTATGTGTTGATACAATGGAACCAACCAGATAATATTCATCCTTCTAGGAGTGTGTGAGTTTGGTTTTACGCCGTTTTTAGCAATATTGCAGCAATATCACTGACGGGGGACACCAGAACATTGTACCCATGTGGGGAATTGAACCTAGGTCTTCAGCATGATAAGCGGACGCTTTAACCATTAGGTTACCCAACCTCCCCCATCTTTCTTAGAGGATTTGCCTACTTTTTTTGTAGTTGTAACATTGTCAGTCTTTTTTGACATGACAATTTACTAAAAATTTACACATCACAATTGGAAAATCGTTTAAATGATAGAAAAAACGATATTCTGGTTCCACTGGATTGACACACAGCTTCCTTTAAGCCTGAACAAAGACATATTTACATTTTCAACATTTTGTACATTTACCCAAAAGAGAATAAAAGCTTTCTACAGAGATCTAGCTGAGAGATGTGTGAACAAAGACAGTGTTCCACTAATCTAACACAGAAGAAACATTGCTAAATGGAGCCCACTTGCTTCAAAAACCTCACCATTAGTGAATCAGTATAAACACCAAGGCATACTGTGCATGTAAATATGGTCCAAAATGAACAAATTTGTTTTTCTTCAAGAAGTATGTCAGGAGAGTGAAGAGAGTAGTCGACGTACTTTTTGTACTGTGAAGACCAGTCTTAGTCTCCTTATGGCTACTTCTCTCACTTTCAAGATTTTCTGTCAAACAAAAATTTGGGAATCAGTGGAAGAAAGGCACTGGATTCCGTGTTCACAGGTGTTATATTTCAGTCATGCACATTCTAGTTCCTCCACCAAGAAAGCTAGGCCCCTGCACCCTTAGATAGAGGTATACTGACAGGTGAGTCTGGCTGAGTGAGAAGCTAGTGACAGATGTATGCAGATCTAACTAGAATGTTCAGGATCTGCCTGATTGAGAAGCTAGTGACAGATGTATGCAGATCTAACTAGAATGTTCAGCATCTGCCTGATTGAGAAGCTAGTGACAGATGTATGCAGATCTAACTAGAATGTTCAGCATCTGCCTGATTGAGAAGCTAGTGACAGATGTATGCAGATCTAACTAGAATGTTCAGGATCTGCCTGATTGAGAAGCTAGTGACAGATGTATGCAGATCTAACTAGAATGTTCAGCATCTGCCTGATTGAGAAGCTAGTGACAGATGTATGCAGATCTAACTAGAATGTTCAGGATCTGCCTGACTGAGAAGTTAGTGACAGATGTATGCAGATCTAACTAGAATGTTCAGGCCTGATCTGGACAGATGTATGAATGTTCAGCATCTGCTAGTGACAGATGTATGCAGATCTAACTAGAATGTTCAGCATCTGCCTGATTGAGAAGCTAGTGACAGATGTATGCAGATCTAACTAGAATGTTCAGGATCTGCCTGATTGAGAAGCTAGTGACAGATGTATGCAGATCTAACTAGAATGTTCAGCATCGCCTGATTGAGAAGCTAGTGACAGATGTATGCAGATCTAACTAGAATGTTCAGCATCTGCCTGATTGAGAAGCTAGTGACAGATGTATGCAGATCTAACTAGAATGTTCAGGATCTGCCTGATTGAGAAACTAGTGACAGATGTATGCAGATCTAACTAGAATGTTCAGGATCTGCCTGACTGAGAAGTTAGTGACAGATGTATGCAGATCTAACTAGAATGTTCGGGGTCTGGATGATTGAGAAGCTAGTGACAGATGTATGCAGATCTAACAAGAATGTTCAGCATCTGCCTGATTGAGAAGCTAGTGACAGATGTATGCAGATCTAACTAGAATGTTCAGGATCTGCCTGATTGAGAAGCTAGTGACAGATGTATGCAGATCTAACTAGAATGTTCAGCATCTGCCTGATTGAGAAGCTAGTGACAGATGTATGCAGATCTAACTAGAATGTTCAGCATCTGCCTGATTGAGAAGCTAGTGACAGATGTATGCAGATCTAACTAGAATGTTCAGCATCTGCCTGATTGAGAAACTAGTGACAGATGTATGCAGATCTAACTAGAATGTTCAGCATCTGCCTGATTGAGAAGCTAGTGACAGATGTATGCAGATCTAACTAGAATGTTCGGGGTCTGGATGATTGAGAAGCTAGTGACAGATGTATGCAGATCTAACTAGAATGTTCAGCATCTGCCTGATTGAGAAGCTAGTGACAGATGTATGCAGATCTAACTAGAATGTTTGGAGTGTGTCTAAGTGAGAAGCTAGTGACTGATGTATGCAGATCTAACTAGAATGTTTATACAGCTAAGACCTATGATGAGCAGACCATGAGGCTGCCCTCTTGCCAGTAGCATTGACATCGACTCATTGTCTGAGGTTTCACTATACTGAACATAAGGAGATCAGATCAGATCATAACAGAATGGAGTTGACTGATAAACTGGTGGCGCTGTGTGCTTCATAACCAATGTGTGTAAGCCTCCCCATAACCTCGCCCTTCATCACAGTGTTTAAGTGCCAGTTACAAACAATCCCCATCTTCTGCCTGGCAACAATATGCTCGGTTCTACTGTCAAATATTTACACACTGATTCTGATCCCCAAGTTGTTAGTACAAAGCATTATGACAGCATCCTGGAGACTTTGCCAGCGTACATACACATCTCTGTTGAAAACAAATGTCATTCACAACTCACGCTTCAGATTATCAGCCTCCACATGATTTGATCGAGTGAGTTCTTGCTCGTCCAACAGGCGATCTGTTAGGCGCCATTGCCAGGTCATAGGTCATAGCATGCATCAACATGCAAGGGGAGGTAATTGGGGAGAGAAGAGGTGAAAAGAACAAGGTGCAGTTAGAAGGTGAAGGCCAGTAACATGAGATGTCTTTAATACATGGGAACTGTAGCAGTTATAGACATGTAGTCTACAAAAATATTAGCGAACAAGGTTAATTTAATGAGTTAGTTGGTATGAAGACAATGAAACCATTCCTAGAATACCATCGACGGATCTTTACATCTTAGTACTGACACATTTGTAACATATTTGTAATTACGGAAATCATTTCAGGATGGTATTGAATACAAACACTTGGAATACTTATTTACAAGTTACACAGTCTAATACAAAACAGTTAGGCCCATCACCCAGCTGATATCGTAAGGTGACATAATTACATCTGTATAATATGATGATCAGTAGTCATTACATGGTATTTCAGTTAAAATTTGATATCTGTAGCATGAGATGAGAAACTGCAGCAATCTGAGAAAGAAGTTATCATTATCTGCCTTAGATTGATGCTGTAATAGTCTCACTGAATGAAGTAAGTACTGACCCCTTAGATCTAATATTTGTTGTTTGACGTCTTTAGTTGCTGTTTCGGCTTTTCGTAATTGGTCTGAAAATGAAGACAGCATTTACACTGTTGCCAGTACACATGGCCTTAAAGAGATGTAGAGAAATTCAGGTGCTATTGCTGGTGACAAAGACGGAAAGAACGGGCGCATCTAAAATATATTTGCTGCTATAATTAGTATAATGTCAGTGTAACATCATGGCAATCTCTTGGAAGAGCTTATCTTTTTTGGTTCCTGTGTAGCAAGCAAACGCATGGAGTATTGGACTACCTTACTAAACATCAAGGACATATATGCCTACTAACTGGGAGTCAGCTGTGTGAGGATGTGGAGGAGGAGGGGGATGTGGGGATGCCACGGCACACAGGACGGTAACAGGGGACCACACGGTATGTCAGCACACACACAATGTCTAAGTATACAACTATTCATTCCAGTATGTTCATGTTCTGATGGTAAGGTGGACACATCACTGCTAGATCTAAACTCGCATTCCTAAAGTGTTCCTGATGTAGTGGGTTTAGAACATGGATTAGGGGCATGAAGAGTTGACTGTTGGCCAGCATCACCACATCCACGTCCTCCACACCCACACTGAAGTGAGTGTCAGTATTCCACACTAGAAACAACAACTTATCTATATACCCAGGAACTATTCAGCTACCTACATGCTCTGGGTCATACATATCTGGACAGTTCTATTGTGAAGGAACATACAAGAACCAAGAAAAACAGCTTCTTGAAGATCTGTACACAATGCCCTTTCCAGAAAGTCTGTACCTAACAAGGCCCTACCCTGAAGGTCAAAATACATCAAGGTCCAAAGCTGAAGGTCAATACACAAGGCCCTACTCTGAAGGTCAATACACAAGGACCTACTCTGAAGGTCAATACACAAGGCCCTACTCTGAAGGTCAATACACAACAAGGCCCTACTCTGAAGGTCAATACACAACAAGGCCCTACTCTGAAGGTCAAGGCCCTACTCTGAAGGTCAATACACAACAAGGCCCTACTCTGAAGGTCAATACACAACAAGGCCCTAGTCTGGAGGTAAATACACAACAAGGCCCAAGTCTGAAGGTCAATACACAACAAGATCCAACCCTCAAGGTCTTTACATAAGGTCCTACCATCTAGGTCAGTACACAAGGTCATACAGTCTTTACACAACAAGGTCTTACACTGGAGGTCTTTACACAACAAGATCCAACCCTCAAAGTCTTTACACAACAAGGTCTTACACTGGAGGTCTTTACACAACAAGATCCAACCCTCAAGGTCTTTACACAAGGTCCTACCCTCTAGGTCAGTACACAAGGTCATACAGTCTTTACACAACAAGGTCTTACACTGGAGGTCTTTACACAACAAGATCTTACACTGGAGGTCTTTACACAACAAGATCCAACCCTCAAGGTCTTTACACAAGGTCCTACCCTCTAGGTCAGTACACAAGGTCATACAGTCTTTACACAACAAGGTCTTACACAGGAGGTCTTTACACAACAAGGTCTTACACTGGAGGTCTTTACACAACAAGGTCCAACCCTCAAGGTCTTTACACAACAAGATCGAACCCTGAAGGTCTTTACACAACAAGGTCTTACACTGGAGGTCTTTACACAACAAGGTCTTACACTGGAGGTCTTTACACAACAAGGTCTTACACTGGAGGTCTTTACACAACAAGGTCCAACCCTGAAAGTCAATACATAACATGGCCCTGCACTGATGGTCAATACACAACAAGATCCAACCCTCAAGGTCAATACACAAGGTTCTACCCTCTAGGTCAATACACAAGATCCTACCCCGAAAGCATGACCTTGACCTGAATGTCTGTAAACAAGGTCCTTCCCTGAATGTCTGTAGATGACAAGGCCCTTCTGTCTAGGTGTTTACACAACAAAGACCTACTGTCTATGTGTATACACAACAAGGCCCTACCCTGAATGTCTGTAGATGACAAGGCCCTTCTGTCTAGGTGTTTACACAACCAACACCTACTGTCGAAGTGTATACACAACAAGGCCCTACCCTGAAGATCTGTCACTGTGTCTTGACTGTCCTTGGCTTGTCTCTGTGCCTCCAACAACTGGCCCCGTACTGCTAGTGTCTCATCACTGTTTTTCTTCACCCTTGCCTTGCTGAGCTCAAGCTCATCTGAACATAAGTAAAACAAATTCAGGTAAAACCTTCTACATACTGTCATGACTGGAAGCACTTTTAGAATAAATAGTACTTTTTGAACATGAAATGGCAATAAAAGTGTAAATGTCTCCAATATTCTTGAGCCTTCATTCCCAGTAGATAATGATGTCAATGGTGATCCTTATCAGGACGTTTCAAAGTTAATGGTACATCCACAACATTCTGATTACCTAATACACAGTGTGTAGAGAACTATACTTGTCAAATGCTACCCCTCATGTCTTTGATGAGAGAGCCTGGTTTGAAAAGCATTTATGAAACTTAAGAAATCTGACATAAATTATCTGGGTTTTTCATTCCAAGTATTTGGCAAAATACTTTAGGACATTTTACAGACCAGGTCCTAGATTTTCGAAGCTCACTTAGCGCTAAGGCAGTCATAAGTGCCATACATTAACATTAACTTACGACTATCTTAGCGCTAAGAGAGCTTCGAAAATCTAGGCCCTGGTACATTGGTACAATTTGAACACCTTCTAATCAAACTAGACCTGTGAGCCTGTAGTGACCCACCCTGTGGCCACCATATGATATGTGACTGTACTAGACATATGTTTTCTGCATGCTCTCACCTCGTGTTTTCCTGAGTTCCAGCTCTGCCCTTCTCTGTGCCTCCCGAGCTTCTTCCAACAGTGCTGTAAAACAGAGAACCATGAACACATGACAACCTATCAGAGAGACCAGTGTCAGATCCACTTTGCTAAATAGTTTCAAACTGTCCCACTGTTGAAAGAATCACATATCAAGACTAGCACCTTCTATCAATCTGTCTGATGACCTTAACAATATGTTACGTATCATGAGATCATGGCTCACTATCCAGTTCATAACACAATACTTGTACATGATCATTTTTGTAGACAGCATGGCCAAATATATGTTAATAGTTAGTTTCTAAGCCCAACCATCTTGCTGTTGTCCTCCATACTGCAAACTGCCTACCCTTTAAGCCAATGAAACTAGTAGTTGAAGCACTAAAGGGAGGTAACCATACCAGGTGCTTCTATAGACTCCTTATGCACCAAACTATGGTACAGCATTATAGTGAGTATGTTTTTACATCCAGCAATATCATGGAAGGCAACACCAGAAATGGGCTTCACACATTATACCCATGTGGGGAATCGAACACGGGTCTTCAGCATGATGAGCGAACACTTTAACCACTAGGCTACACCACAGCCCATGGTACAGCATGATGGACACTCCAAACATTTGCCAATTGTCTAATTTGTTAAATCCTGTTAAAGGTTTACCCACCTTTCCAGTCATCATCATCCGAGAGGTCACTCACACTTGATGATAGAGATGAGGATGAGAGGTGGTTGTGGACACCATTGATGGTGGTTTCGTCATCCTCATCTACATTACTAGCATGCGCTAACAATGTCGTCTCGGCCTTCTCGGACTGGGGGATCTTGTACACGGAGAGTTCAGACTCTAGCTGCTCAATTTGAGCTGAAATAAACACATCGATGAGCAAATATTTAAGAACTTAATGGATGTGTTGGTGAGTGAAAATGTTTAATATTACATATATATAAGACAGGTTTGGTATTCTTACTGGGATTACCCACAGTTCCACAAAACACAATGCTATGATCAGGACACGATGGCACAAAATCAGCCAATCCATTTTTAGTGAGGAGTGAGTGATTGAGTATGGTTTTACCCTCAAGCAATATCCCAGGTATATCATGGCGGGGGGCACCAGAAATGGGCTTCACACATTGTACCCATGTGGGGAATCGAACCCGTGATGAGCAGACATTTAGACCATTAGGCTACCCCACTTCCTTAATTACTGAGGAACAGTTCTACCTGAAAATCCCCATGGAGAGGGACATCAGTGGCAAAGTATTGGCAGTCTGGACCAATACGGGGAACTGATGGTACTGACAGTCACATTCTTTCCACAGCTCACTAAACAAGTCTTGTGACAATTGTACAAGAAGCAGAACTATCTCATATTATAGCTAAAATACATGGAATTATCATGAAACGGCCCTCCCATTATCAGAAATTTGCGGGCCGCTGCAAATGATATTGGACCGCTCAACCTTAACGACGGGCCACTATCAGTTCTGTTGTCAAGTGACGTCATAGTGGGTGCGTGGGCTTACGGTTCATTCGACATTAATTGGCTTTCGACTGGCAGATATTCTGTGTCAAACAAGTCAAAGCAACCCGAATTCCCGCTTTAAATTGCAGTAATATTGGCTTTCTTGTTGGTGCTAACCTTAACAATTGCACTATTAAGGCTGTTGATGCACCAAAACCGAACACTGACATAGTTTGACATGTTGCAGGCTATGGTTGTCGAATATCGTCACTTTCTCTTGTGACATCACTTGAATTGTTCGATGACGTAATTGCATTTGGGCAGTCAACCCCATCAGAAGTTGATTTGGGTAAACTTACAGTCAAATTCCTTCATTGTTTCCCTTTTCTTTTCAACGCAAATTCCATGTATTTTAGAAATAATAACGGTAATGCTATTTTTGAGGGTATTATCATTTGCAGATAATGGAAGACCTCGGGCTTCTGCAAATGATAATGCTCTCAAAAATAGCATTACCCTTATAATAATTATATTTCCATCTAAAGTTTATTAGATATCAAACCATTTCTGTTTTGGCTGAGTGTGTCTTGGTTTATATAGGCTGTAACGATTCACTCGCATATTCGGTGAATCGAACCATAGCCCTTCATGAATTCAATTCGTTATTCGTGGTCATCAGAACCGAATATTCATGAATATTTACAATTTTTAAGGGAGTGTGTTTTACTTGAACCCTTATGTCCTTTTTCAAAATGAGATATGCAAGAATGCATTATGTACTAGCCTTGTAGTAGCGCAAGTCATGTTAGTTTGCCAAGGCTGCACATGGTACTGTCAACTATAACTATTACATACCAAATTTGAGTGTCATGAGATGACTGGTTATTGCTGTGACAAATCAAAACTGTCAACATTGGCATTCAATATTGTGCATCAGTCACTTGACTACAATATTGTATTCGTGAATAATTATTCGTATTCGGTACCCAATATTCGTGATACGTATCATATTCGCAACATAGTGTATTCGTTACAGCCCTATTGGTTTATGACTGCTGTAAACAGCATTCATTGATGTCACAGTGTTTCAACTTGATCCGAGAGCAGAGCCACACCAGAAATCATTATGAGTGGTTATCATACCGACAGATCAAGGATTAGAAGCCATGACTAGCAGATCCTGGCATCCAAGGGGCATAACTCTGGACAGTAAATATGAGAATTCTTTAGTTGATGACCCAATGGTGATCCACCATCCCCACAATCAGCATCCATCCAATCCTAATTTCAGTTCCTGGCCCTGTTTGAACTGTTTGACTCTCCTTCAAACCAGTTCTGCTTTAAAGTTATCAACAATATGGAACAGTAATTAAATGTCTTACCCTCAAGCGACTGTATCAAACTGTTGCTACTATCACACTGTTGTCGAGATTCTTTAAGTTGCACTGAAACAAACAGCTTATTCATAATGGTATGACTACATAGGAATGTTTGTGCTGCAACAGTTTACCAAGATGAAAATGTAACACCTAAAAGTGTTGAAAACTATTGTTAGTGTTGCCACCATGCACACGAAAGAGAGAGTTGAGTTTTTACACCAATTCAAACCTAATATTTCCACATCTTTCCACAGAGAGGGAAAGACAGATTTGGCTGTATTAAGGGAACCAAACCCAGGTCTGCAGCCTGACAAACATCTTGGCTAACTCAGTCTCCAATGTACATGAACAATATTACACCCATGTATTTCACAGGATTGTATTGCAACAATGTACATAAGCAATGCTACACCCATGAATTTCATTGGATTGTTTGTACTGCAACAATTTACATAAGCAATGCTACACCCATGTATTTCACAGTGAGTGAGTGAGTGAGTGAGTTTAGTTTTACGCCGCTTTTAGCAATATTCCAGCAATATCAATGCATGGGGACACAGAAATGGACTTAACAATTGCCCATGTGGGGAACCCATCGAACCCGGTTTTCGTACCCATGTTTTCATTGTTTGTATTGCAACAATGTACATAAGCAATGCTACACCCATGAATTTCATTGGATTGTTTGTATTGCAACAATGTACATAAGCAACTACACCCATGTATTTCACAGGAGTGTATTGCAGCAATGCTACACCCATGAATTTCATTGGATTGTTTATATTTGCAACAATGTACATAAGCAATGCTACACCCATGTATTTCACAGGAGTGTATTGCAACAATGTACATAAGCAATGCTACACCCATGAATTTCATTGGATTGTTTGTATTGCAACAATGTACATAAGCAATGCTACACCCATGTATTTCACAGGAGTGTATTGCAACAATGTACATAAGCAATGCTACACCCATGAATTTCATTGGATTGTTTGTATTGCAACAATGTACATAAGCAATGCTACACCCATGTATTTCACAGGATTATATTTGCAACAATGTACATAAGCAATGCTACACCCATGTATTTCACAGGAGTGTATTGCAACAATGTACATAAGCAATGCTACACCCATGAATTTCACAACAATGTACATAAGCAATGCTGTATTGCAACAATGTACATAAGCAATGCTACACCCATGTATTTCACAGGATTGTATTGCAACAATGTACATAAGCAATGCTACACCCATGTATTTCACAGGATTGTATTGCACAATGCAATGCTACACCCATGTATTTCATAAGCAATGCTACACCCATGTATTTCATTGGATTGTTTGTATTGCAACAATGTACATAAGCAATGCTACACCCATGTATTTCACAGGATTGTATTGCAACAATGTACATAAGCAATGCTACACCCATGTATTTCACAGGATTGTATTGCAACAATGTACATAAGCAATGCTACACCCATGTATTTCACAGGAGTGTATTGCAACAATGTACATAAGCAATGCTACACCCATGTATTTCACAGGATTGTATTGCAACAATGTACATAAGCAATGCTACACCCATGTATTTCACAGGATTGTATTGCAACAATGTACATAAGCAATGCTACACCCATGTATTTCACAGGATTGTTTGTATTGCAACAATGTACATAAGCAATGCTACACCCATGTATTTCACAGGATTGTATTTGCAACAATGTACATAAGCAATGCTACACCCATGTATTTCACAGGATTGTATTGCAACAATGTACATAAGCAATGCTACACCCATGTATTTCACAGGATTGTATTGCAACAATGTACATAAGCAATGCTACACCCATGTATTTCACAGGAGTGTATTGCAACAATGTACATAAGCAATGCTACACCCATGTATTTCATTGGATTGTTTGTATTGCAACAATGTACATAAGCAATGCTACACCCATGTATTTCATTGGATTGTATTGCAACAATGTACATAAGCAATGCTACACCCATGTATTTCACAGGATTGTATTGCAACAATGTACATAAGCAATGCTACACCCATGTACTGTATTTCACAGGAGTGTATTGCAACAATGTACATAAGCAATGCTACACCCATGTATTTCATTGGATTGTCTGTATTGCAACAATGTACATAAGCAATGCTACACCCATGTATTTCATTGGATTGTATTGCAACAATGTACATAAGCAATGCTACACCCATGTATTTCACAAGATTGTATTGCAACAATGTACATAAGCAATGATACACCCATGTATTTCATTGGATTGTCTGTATTGCAACAATGTACATAAGCAATGCTACTCCCATGAATTTCATTGGAATGTTTATGTTGCAACAATTTAAATGAAACAATACCATTTAACACAATGTTTGCAGTGTAATAAAGTATATGAACACTATTACTTTCATGTTCTTAATCGGATTACTTATTGGCAACAAATCATATGCACAAAACTGTGTTAATGTATTGTTTGTACTGCAACAATGCACATGAACAATATTACACTGAATGTATTTCATCGAGTTGTTTGCAATGCAAAGCTGTGAAATACATGGACATTTTACCATCTTATCAAGAAATAGTGATAATATCTCCAGGTTATATGTTCATAATTTTGATAATTTCTTTTTTATATCTGCAAACTGCTTGAACACCTTAAATTTTAATATTACCTTAGAAAGCTTAAAAATATTGATGATAAAACTGTTTAAAACAGGTCTTAAATACTGATGCAGCTGACATATGCAATGCAAGGAGGCAGGCTGAGAGAATGTATGGGATCTTGATAGTGTCAAGCTGGCAAGCAGTGATTATATGTACGTAAAAGACAATGCAGCTAAACTGAAAAGTATAGGATAGATGATACTGATGATGATAGAGGTGACATCTATTCCAACTTACCACCAGTTTAGATATTTTTGCAAAGATTGGTAAATGAATGTGAATATCATATTTCATCAGAAGGAAAGTGATAATGAGTAAAAACCTGGCAATATATCATTGGATATTTTGTTTGTTTTTAAAGATTGCAAATAACAGCTATAGCCTGTGATACACATGATCTTTTAAAAAATACATACATACATATTGTATATATAAAGCATGAAGCATATATAGATGTTATAACAACTTATTATGTCTGACAGCAGATATAGTAATGGACATAAATATCCAAAGCATGTCAAGCACAATTTATGGAACTTAAAAAACATGTGAGCCATATTATATCAGACAGTATATGTCTCAAAAACGTTGGCCCGTGCTGATTGTGTAAGAGTTTGACACATCTGATTGACATGTCCAGACAACTACCTACCCTTTCCCAAGTTTTGGCTTGGTAAGGAGAGCAATAAACTTTGTTCGATATAATATTGTTCGCAGTGTTTCACCTGAAATATCTTTTTCATATGGACAAATAAATCCATATAATTTCTGCCGGTATGGATGATAGTGCAAGTGAACTGATCCACACAACAGTGACCGTGTGAGTGAGTGAGTTAGTGCTCTTCATCACAGTCAACACCAAGTTTGTGGCTGGCCAGGACACACAATTCAAGCTGTCCAGATAATCAGCACCTTGCAGCACTGTCCAAGGTTTCGAGCCACAAAGCAAGACCTACGACCTTCTTTACCCCCATACCATAACACTCTTACAATGGTTTCTATCAGTTAGTTTACCGCCTCCGTGGTGTAGTGGTTAGAGCGTCCGCCCGGAGAGCGGAAGGTTGCGGGTTCGATCCCTGACCACATCATACCAAAAGACGGTAAAATATGGTACTTGTTGGTCCCTGCCTGGCGCTCGGCATAAATGGGTACATCAAGGACTGGTCAGCTCGGAGTCAGTATAATGTGTCTGAGTGGGGTATTCATGCTTCACTGCGGCATGGTATCTCAGTGGGCTAGCACTATAAAACCAGCTTCAGTCTGGGCTAGTACAAGCAGCCGCACATACTCACGCTTGCACGTCGTCATATGAGCGAAATATTCTCAAGCACGACGTTAAACCCAATTTCACCTCACCTCACCTCTATCAGTTAGTTTAACCTATTCTGACCTTTACCCATAATGTTGTTTGTTTGGTTGTTGTTTAACGCCGTACTCAGCAATATTCCAGCTATATGGCAGCCGTCTCTAAATAATCAAGTCTGGACCAGACAATATAGTGATTAACACCACGAGCATCCATCTACACATTTGGGATACACTGTTGTGTCAACCAAGTCAGCGGCCTGAACACCTGATTCCAAGTCACTTCTTGGGTCACTGAATCCCAATTCCAACCCGGATCTTCATCATGTAACCAACAGATGTTGTGATCACATATCAATATGTCGCTTTCTCTCCTTCACATTAACACTACTAAAGCAGATTATTATACAGGCCAAGCTGGTTACAAAGATAAATATTAACAGTACAGATACTGTATCCTGTGGCAGGTACACCTAGTTTCACACACTGTTTCATAAGCTGAATATTTCAATTATGAAACATAACTATATCTTCCAGCCTTACTTACTCTTCCAGTATATTACACATCCATTACATGAAACATTGTCAAACAAAACTTGAAACATAAGCATGCAAATGGAAGAGAATGTGCCCAGAAAGGTGCAACATGACTTGTTCCTCCTGAGCAACATGACAACAGTAAGCTGTGCCTGGAAGACTCCATCACATATAAAACCCCATTCATGCAAAGCAGCTGTTAACAGTGACGGCAACAGAAAATGGCGACACTTACGTTTCAAATCTGCCAAGGCATTTTCCATCATTTGGTTCATATGTGTATCAGACAGCTTTAGTTTTTCTGCACAAAAATTGGATGAGAGAAGGATACCATGTGAAAAATATGAGTGTGATCGGGTGGGCGATAACAAACAGCACACGTCTTGCAGATCTCACCAGGTGCACAGCCCACTAATACAAAGGATGTCTCAACACAAGGCTATCAAACTCAACAGGGCGACACAACACGCAAACTCAAAACAGAATATCACGTGAAATATGCTTCCTAGAAATGACTTTGAAAGCAATGAAGATTACCAAGTTACTCAGTAATTGTCATAGTGCTCTATGTTTTCTTGATATGTGATACAGGATATATCATCTCATTGGTGAATATACGTGACTGTCCATCGTTACATGGACCAACCCTAAAAGCATGTTGGTTATATGGAAGTGCTGTTTGGTTATATGTGAAAAGAATTGAGGCATCTATTACCGCAGTTCATGAAAAGATAAGAAGCAAACAGAAGAAAAAACACACAAACTTCAAAAGAATACCCAACTGTACACCACATGTATTTGTCTTTTGATAGTGATTCCTAAGCATGTGCTCATGATAAAGTTAGACTCGTACAATAAAGTTGGAACTGTACAACTGACTCTGATTTTAGCATTGTTTTGTTATGGATGAGAAAGGTATATGTTGCTTTTATTCTTTTGAAACAGAACAGATTTAAGGTTTCTCAACTTTTTATCATCAGAGCATTTTCTATTCATATTGAATACTTCTGTTATGTTTGAGGCCTTATTTGTCACTCACATAGAGAATCCAAATTGGACAATGCTAATTCAAAACGCTTGCTGTCAAAATTGACATAACAAGTTGATTTCTCAATCTCATATCTTCTGTTAATACAAAAAAGTACATGCCTGCTAACTTTGATGAAAACAAATTAACATTTTGAGTTGAGAGTAATTAAATATTAAGGACATGTTCACTGATTCAACCCAACACTAATTTCCCCACTAAATTTGCCAAGTGATCACATTATAAACTTAAACTTTCTAATAAATTTGATTTTTTAAAGACATAATCTACCTCGTTTTTGTGCTCAACAAGCTGGCAAATGAGCATATGATGCCAAAAATTATTCTCCCAAAACAAGTGAAGTTGTAATTACAATACATCCTTATTAGCTACAGATAAATCGCCAGGGATATCTGCTTCCGAAGGTGTAGTGATACTGTGATTTAATGGCAAATCTTCAAAATAACTAACACTGGACACAAATCAGGAGTCTATAAACAAGGTTAATGCCTTGCCACAGTTCAATAGTGCAAGGGCATCAGAGTGAAAACCAAGACAATACAGTCTTCAGTGCAGGGTATTATGACTTGTGACTAACAAGCTTGTGGTATTATGATATTTCAAGGCCTCTGAACACAGCCAGTCACATGTAACTGATCCAGTCTACAGTGCCAAGTCACCCTAGCTGTGACAAGTGAGCTAAGCCTGGGTGCGGCTTCATGGTGTACAGTGGGTACATCTCTGGGACATCACAGGACAAACAGGTACACGACTGACCACTCTTACCTTCAAGGGAGGCCATTTTAGCCAGGTATTGCTTTGAATCCAACTTGGCCATCTCCAGTTCCTCTGTGTGTGCACAAACAGGACAGGTTGAATTAATCATACAACTGACTGACTGAGTTAGGTTTTATGCCGCTTTTAGCAATATTCCAGCAACATCACGGCGGGGGACACCTGAAATGGGCTTCACACATTGTACCCATGTGGGGATTCGACCCGGCTCTTCAGCGTGACGAGTCAACGCTTTAACCACTAGGCCACCCCACCGCCCCTTAATCATACAAAATGAGGGGACAATGGTGATACTAGTGCTGGTTATCAATATGCTGATCAATAATGACAGACCAGTAATCGATCAACAATTTATTGTAATCGTAAACCCAAGCAAAAATTTCATGTGGGGAATAACGGGACACAATCATAACAATGTGCAAATGAAACAGGCAACAATTATTACTATGATCAAGATGATCGAGGATACTTTCTGTTGAGACACGGATGTGAGTATGTTTTTAACACTGCAGTTTTACGAGTCAGGAAGCTGCATCAGTTCATGTCTTGATTTAACAAACGTAGCAATAAGAAACTTTGTAAAGTTTAATTTGATGTATTTGCTGATGCAAGCATGATCGATCGATTGGCCAACTATTCGATCAACTTACTAATACCCAAATCATACAATTTGGTCACTAGGTTTAATGGGTTCTTGGTGATAGGCTTTCAAGTATATCTGTAATTCATCAATTTGTTTGTGTTGAAAAAATCTAAACTCAAAAGTCCTCCAGTTAAAAGATTAGGTGAAACAGGCTATAATGCTGTGTTCAGGATTATTTCACTTCTATAATGAATCACATCAATCCTCCAAAAACATATCTGATTTGATCAAACTTGGTGAACACCAACATTTTGATACATTAGAGGTACTTTTGTGAGAGACCATCAGGGTGTTATACTTACTTGCTAACTGTTCAACCTTATCGCTGCTTTCTTTTAACTTGACATCGTTTTCTTCAAGTTGGGCTGTAAACACACAATCCAGAGTCACAATAAAGAAGAGCTGTTCAGAGAGACTAGAATCCTTTTTGAAACAATCACTGCTAATTGAAATCCATTACACCATTTATCAACCAAGAGGTTATCATGAATGTCTGTTGTTTAGTGCTGAACTCAGCAATATTCCAGCTATATGGCGGCGGTGTGAAAATAATCAAAACTGGCCAGAATACAGTGATCAACAGCATGAGCATCGATCTACACAGTTGGGATACGATGACATGTGTCAACCAAGGCAGCGAGCCTGACCACCCGATCCCTTTAGTTGCCTAGTACAACAAGCATGGGTTGCTGATGACAAATTCTAACCCGGTTTTTCACAGGTCTGGTTGTACAATGACATGTGTCATGAAATATTTACTTCTCATACTTCATGCATGTGTTGTCTCATATAAATCCAACTTCTAAACTAAAATCTTTTAAAACAGCACACAGACTGATTTGCGGAACATATACCTTGCCCTTGCTCACTCTCTCACCCAACTTCACATATTCACCTCAGGGAGTTGAGAACAAAGTTCAGGGCACACTGATCCAAAGACTGGGATAATACTATTGTACTGCCATGAATATTCACTTGAATGCTTGTCCATTATACATTAATTCATAAGTCTCATATTCAAGTCGCTGATGATCACCTCATGTTGACATTATCACATCATGTACCAAGGAGCATCCATCCAAGTAACACCATCATCAGTGGACAAAATTGGGCATTAAACACTTGCTCTCACCTTTGTATTTCTCAAGCTGTTGCTGAGTTTCCCGTAGTTTCTCTGGTAGATTTTCAGGGCCACTGTCATCCTTGGGACTGAGTGGGATTATATGAGCTTGTGGGGAACCTACAACACAGTTCACACAGGTCATTTCCCAACTGTCCCATGTGACCGATTGTGCATCCTCAGTATCTTCAGGGCTCACATTTCCGCTCACTTACTCGAACCACTGGATCCTTATTGCAAATAACCCTTCCTTGATTTTTGCTAACATTTTACTGACCAATCAAACATTGTCAAAAAGGAATGGTAAGGGAGGTAACTCTAATTACTTACAAACTAACGGCTTTGTCAGTATTAATGGAGATAAAGGCATCCCTTCAATCAATAAGATTTTCAGCGATTTTTTAAACATTGAATTTTTCTAAAATTCAAATCAAATCAAAATCAATGGGACTAGAGAGAAACAACCTTATGTCTTTTCATATGAAATGTATCAACTTGAGAAGGACAAGTTTTAAACTCACATGGATGAGTATTCACATATTTGACATTAAAGGACATGAGTGTGATATTACTTTTGACACACAAAATCATTCTTACACAGTTTGAACTAATTAAACAATAATCAGTGTCTAAAAACAGCTAACCAGCTTCACTTTCATAGAAATTAGTGCTACCATTTGATGTTGACAAGATGGCAACTGATAAAGTTACGATGGTCATCAAAGCTTAGTGATGCAATTTCCATGAAGCAACATCACCTATTACACCTAACATGGACAGTTACCTCCCCTTATCTAATAACATAACAGTTTGTTTGGGTAACATACTTGGCACACATTTGTAATCAGAGAGTGATATTGGTAAAAGGTTTTTCAAAGCTCTGTGTAAAATTTCACTTCCATTTCTCCATTTGTTCATAAAAAAGCCAAATATCACCATGGCAACAAATAACTTTTGAAGCTTACCTATAGAGTCTAACTCTGCAACAATCTTTTCATGATCATCTTCGTTGATTTCTTTGATTGATTCAAATTTGGCTGCAACACAAAGAAAATTGGAATAGTCGCATGCAAATCAGTGGGGACCTTTTCAAACAAAACAGCCAGTGACTGTAAGTGATAGTGTTTATCCTTCAAAGACAAAAGCCAAGACTTAATATATACCAACCTTTCATGGCTGCTAACTGTTCCTTAGCAAAGTCATTATCAGCTTGTAGGGATTCCACCTGTCAATAACACAGCATTATCATTGGTGCACAGCATGTCACTGACATAGTATTTCAAGAATTACACAGTGAGTGAGTGAGTTTAGTTTTACGCGGCACTCAGCAATATTCCAGCTATATGGCGGCGGTCTGTAAATAATCAAGTCTGGACCAGACAATCCAGTGATCAACAGCATGAGCATCGATCTGCGCAATTGGGAACCGATGACATGTGTCAACCAAGTCAGCGAGCCTGACCACCCGATCCCGTTAGTCGCCTCTTACGACCAGCATAGTCGCCTTTTGTGGCAAGCACGGGTTGCTGAACACCTATTCTACCCCGGATCTTCACAGGTCAGAAGTACAAAGTAATTTTTTTTTCCTACTGTAAAGTTTGATTATTTGTTGAGAGGCAAGGCTGACCACTGGTGATGAAAGCATGGTAGAAATTTACAATGATGCAAATTAATATTCATATTCATACAGAGAATAATTATTAAAAAAAACAACCTAGATTCAGTTAATGTGGCTTAAAGTCAGTGAGTGAGTTGAGTTGAGTTTTACGCTGCTTTTAGCAATATTCCAGCAATATCACAGCGGGGGACACCAGAACTGTACTCATGTGGGGAATCAAACTCAGGTCATCAGCATGATGAGCGAATGCTTTAACCACCAGGCTACCCCACAGCCCCTGTGGCTAAAAGACTAGCAAAGGAATGAGAATTTTTTTGTGCTAAGTACTGTCAACTACGACAAATCAACAACATACTTGAGTGAAACATTTTAGTGATCAATGTCCACAAGAAGTGATCTTATCAAACACCCTGAAGGATTGTATATATTTACTTGCAATAATAATGAATGAAGGATTCACACTGCTGATGCAGCAAATAAAGCCATGAGAGGAACCATCGTGATCAGGCTCCATATGCAGTACCCAAGAACTCATACCATGTACGTCTTCAAGTTCAACCTCAAGGCTATTCTCTTGCCACTTTTATAGACACTAAAAATCACCAACATGGTGAATGACATGAAATAAAGTCCTGTGAACTGTATGTCACATCAGAGCATGTCACCTCTTTGCTGAGGCTTGTCACAGAATATGAAACCACAACCATCAGTACGGGTTACTAATGGGGGCATGAGCACATGATCAACAGCAAGGTTTAAGGAAGAAACAGTGCACTGTGAACTGCAGATGCATGTCACATATGTGAGACATGAGTGAGCAAGTTGGGTTTTACACCGCTTTTAGCAATATTCCAGCAATATCATGACGGGAGACACCAGAAATGGGCTTCACACAGTTTATCCATGTGGGGAATCAAACCCAGGTTTTCGGTGTGACGAGAGAACACTTTAACCACCGGACTACCCACTGCCCCATGCTACATATGCCTTGCCCCAGCAGTAAGTGGGCACTGACCTTGGCAGACAGGATGCTCTCCTGCGTCATCATCTCCTCTATCTTGGCCGTCAGCTCCTGCTTCTCCTGCTCGGACCGCTCACACTCCTCTTTATGCTTCTCTTCAGCATCCTGGAACACGACCACAATTGTTCAGTTGGATGAAAATGTTTTTACATCATTTTCATAAGACTGGCATCGGAGAACACAATAGAAAATAGATGTCATTTGGTTTGCTGAAAAGGGCTTTAACCCTGGCAACATTACAGTCATAAGATTGTGAGTTTAGCTCTGTCCAAGTGTTTGACCCAAGACCTGTTTAATAAAACGATCAAGCACAACACTTGTCATAACTCAAAAAGTTTGACTTAGACTTACGATATAACACGTTATATTTGGGATTACACTTTATCAGTAATGACAGATTCCAGCACTTTTGTTGGGTTGATTTCAATCTGGGATTTGAAGCCTCACTCTCAGATGATGCACCTTATTGCAAGCACACAAAGTCAGCCATCTGACTCACTCAGCCGTCACAGCTTCCACGATACTGAGAAAATGTAATCCCAAATATAACATGTGTTAAGTTTGACCACTTTCAAAATGGCATTGTGTATTCAAGACTTACAATAGTCGTAGCACAAAGATTGCTTCATGAAAATGGGACTTGCACTTTGGTTCACAAAGCAATCTTAGTTGATCGTAACTCCCACTCAGATCGCTCTAAAACAGTCGTATATCTGAGATGACTTTGTGGGACAGGAAACTGGTGTTTCTAACCGACCTTGACCACTCGTTAAGATCGGCTTAGAAGAGTTATAGATCTGAGATCACTTTGTGGGACAGGAAACTGGTGTTTCTAACCGACCTTGACCACTCGTTAAGATCGGCTTACAACAGTTATAGATCTGAGATCACTTTGTGGGATAGGGCCCTGAAATTCTGACTGACCTTGAGTTTGTCCTGCAGCTCCTGGACTTCCTTGAGCTGGTCCTGATACTTCTCCGCAAGCTGCCTCAGCTCATCCTGGGACTTCTCACACATGTCCTTCAGATGGCTGCATTCTGACTCAGTGTTGCCCAGAGACCGCTGAAACATCAGGTCCAACATGTAACACCATCACATCCACTTGCAACTACTTCCACAATACCTATCACTAGGGGTGGGTATTGCAGATAATTTTCATATTGCAATATATTACGATATGTATTGCAATATATTGCAAGAAGTTTTTTTCAACAAATAAACTACTTATAATCGAGTTAATACTTGATTAAGAAAGCAAAAACACAGCAATATCACTAAGCTTGATTAAGCTGTAATTAAAAAACTTTTAACTGTCCCGCCTGAGAATTTCACTTTACCATTGTGTATTTTACATACTGCTTTACTCTTATCAATAGTTCCATCTACAGTAAACTTTTTCAACCCCAAATGCTGCCATACCGAAGCCGATGCCCGAGTGTTTGGCACCACAATAAATTGTTCGCTGTTGGGGGTCTCCATTTAACAACAAACGCATGACTCGCCGAGGGTTACTAAGTTTTCCAACTGCATGTCAAAATACCGGTTTTCGATCAGCGTATCGCAATACATATCATTTCATGTCTGAACCAGTAAATACCGTAAACCGGTTATATTGCGCACCCCTACCTATCACTGAAATAGATTCACTTGGTGGGGAATCAGGCCCTTTCACACCCATGTTAGAAATAATGTTCAGTAACGAATGCTTGTCGTAGGAGGCAACAAATGGTATGAGATGGTGAGGCTCGCTGTCTTGGTTGACACATGTCATCGAATCCCGTAGTGTAGGTCAATGATGTTGATCACTAGATTGTCTGTTTAGGACTCGATTATTTTACAGACCTGTGCCATATATCTGGAATATTGTTGAGTGTGGCGTAAAACTAAACTAAACAGCATACGATCAGTAAATGAAAATCTGTAAAGAGTGAGCGAGTGAGTTTAGTTTTACGCCGCTTTGAGCAATATTCCAGCAATATCACAACAGGGGACACCAGAAATGGGCTTCACACATTGTACACATGTGGGGAAATGAACCCGGATCTTCGGTGTGACAAGCAAATGCCTTAATCACTAGGCTACCCCACTGCCCCTAAGCACATAAGCAACTGCAAGCCCAAGTTGTTATCAGGCTTTCCTTTAGCAAAATGCTTCTTGAAAATAGATACACACATGAAACATGAATTGATACATGGGTAGACATATATGGCATCATCAGATGTAAACTTTTGATGGATGCTGAACTCATACCTCCAAGTCGGACAACTTGGTCACAGCCTCTAATTTTTCTTGTAAAACCCGTCTCAATGATTCCTGAAAAGAGAAAGGAAGTTTGTTTTATTGACACTCACCAAAAAAGATATACTGGACAAAACTTGATAACAATTACATCACAATGATTATCTCAGCTTTCAACAAGCCATTGTGACAATATCATAATGACAAGATATTCGGCAAGAAAGATGCCTCTTTCGCATTTACTGAAAACAGTTTCCCTTACCTTAGCAGTAGTTTCATAATTCAGTTTTTCCTCCTGCAGAGCGTCCAGCTCTTGCCTGAGGGTGTCCTCTGAGTGATTCTGGAGACAAAGAAAATATGTCATTAAAGTGCATCACATCTTCAACCACACTAATTAACATGAATAAATACAACTGAGAAGATTATATATCACATACAAATTTTATCACATATTTGTCAAAGATATTCATTTACATATGTATGTTGTTTAATAATATCTGAATCATCAAAATAATTGCTATTATCAAAATAATCTATCTCCATAACAATGACTATCGTCATAACAATCATTATCTTCCTAATCTTCCTAATCATCCTAAATCATCAGTATCATAAACCTCACTATCATTATAATAATCACTGTAATCATAATCCCTAGTATTTTTTCACTCTAAGCACGAGTATGTACAGCGAATATTTTCATAGGGTTGTGCACTAACAATTGTTGTCACTTGTTAAATTTATTTTTTTCATATATCACCCCCTAAAATGACCCCCCACCGCCCAATCAATATTTCACATCATCAGTCTGACTCACTTTTGAGTATGTGTGAAGCTGGGTTTCCAGAACTTCTAACCTGGATAAAAGTTTATCTTCATCTATGAGAGCCTGAAAAATAAAAAATAACTTTCATATCTTTAAAAAGATATCTCCCTGTCCGTGTTCTGATTGTAGTGTTATCAGTGTTATAACAACATAACATGAAATGTATGTGTCCATGATATGGCAAGACACAATACATGTGTCTCCACATGTACAACAATTGTCAGGGACATGTAGGCCAGTAAGGGTGACAGGGCAAACTGGCTGACGAGCATTCCCGCAGGTATACATATTGTGCAGATAACAGGTGATACGATATCACATTAGTTACTACAGCTCTGGAACAAACACACTGCTTGTGGGCAACATAGTTTCAGTACCACACCGTTGTTTAGTTCAAGTTCAAAAACTGGCGTGATCACTAAGACAAAGATTGTCCTAACATGTGTACAAGGTAATCATTACTGTCACTGGGATTACCAGAGCAGCGTAGGCCCTCAGCCCTTAATCCAATAACCCAAGTCCAGAAGCAGTCAGACTTAAGCCAGTGTGCACAAAACACTTTTCAACCTAACTTCTCTAAACGAATCACTTGACAACAAAAGATGTCATTCAAGGTTTACTAGACTCAGTGGGTTTGGTTGGTTGGTCTGTTGCTTAACGCCACACTCAGCAATATTCCAGCAAGATGTAGGCGTTCTGTAAATAATAGTCTGGACCAGACAATCCAGTGATCAACAGCATAAGCATCGATCTACACAACTGGGATACGATGACATGTGTCAACTAAGTCAGTGAGCTTGACCACCCGATCCCGTTAGTCGCCTTTTACGACAATCATTGGTTGCTGAAGACAAATTCTGACCCAGATCTTTATGGGTCTACTAGACTCGGACAATAGGTTAGTGGCTGAAGTCACAACTGTAAAACTCATGTAACTTTCTTTACTGCCAACTTTAGTGAGTAATTGCATTTTATGTACTACTCACAAAAGGTAAAGAAAACCCAATCCTGCTCAATTCACCCAATACATCATGGCAGATTAACTATGAAAGAATAGGTTGTTCTTCAACTTTTTTCAATTAACATACATCAGGTATTCCTGTACAATCTATGTACAAATGGAATCTGTCTCTGGTTTTCATCACCACATGCTCAAACTTCACCTCCATTCGACCACACAGCCTAACATTTTGGGACTAAATCTAATGGCAATGATACTTACAGATAAGACTGCAAACAGTCGAGCTACAGTACATGTTAAAACATTGTGCACTGTAACATTCACAAGCCCCTTACCTGCCAACCACTCTCTGAAGAGTCCTGCGTACTGGCAACAAGTTGTTGGAGGGTTGACAGTTTTTGTTCCAACATCTTTTCCCTATGCAAGGCTTCCTGTAACAAAAGAACAAAATGTGCAATTGAAGCTTAAGACCGTAGTCAGCAATGTTCCAGCTATATGAGAAGTTTCTTAAACCCCCACTCCGACAAAAAAACAAAAAACAAATCAAAAGTCTAACCTGTAAGGTGCAGTACCCCAACAATAACTAGATATGATGACTGGTTATCAAAGTCATCAAGCCTGACAACCAAATACAAGAAAGTCATCAAGCCTGACAACCATATACAAGAAAGTCATCAAGCCTGACAACCATATTCAAGAAAGTCATCAAGCCTGACAACCACATAGAAGAAAGTCATCAAGCCTGACAAACACATTCAAGCCTGACAACCACAAGAAAGTCATCAAGCCTGACAAGTCATCAAGCCTGACAACCATATACAAGAAAGTCATCAAGCCTGACAACCACATTCAAGAAAGTCATCAAGCCTGACAACCATATACAAGAAAGTCATCAAGCCTGACAACCATATACAAGAAAGTCATCAAGCCTGAAAACATCATCGAAGAAAATCCTAAAGTCTGACAACCACATACAAGAAAATCCCCAAGCCTGACAACCACATCCAACGGGCATCAAGCCTGACAACCACATCCAAGAAAGTCCCCAAGCCTGACAACCACATCCAAGAAAGTCCCCAAGCCTGATACCTGCCTGACAATATACAAGAATCCAAGAAAGTCATCAAGCCTGACAACCACATACAAGAAAGTCCCCAAGCCTGACAACCACATACAAGAAAGTCATCAAGCCTGACAACCATATACAAGAAAGTCATCAAGCCTGACAACCATATACAAGAAAGTCATCAAGCCTGAAAACATCATCGAAGAAAATCCTAAAGTCTGACAACCACATACAAGAAAATCCCCAAGCCTGACAACCACATCCAACGGGCATCAAGCCTGACAACCACATCCAAGAAATTCCCTAAGCCTGACAACCACATACAAGAAAGTCATCAAGCCTGACAACCACATCCAAGAAAGTCATCAAGCCTGACAACCACATCCAAGAAAGTCCCCAAGCCTGACAACCACATCCAACAAGCATCAAGCCTGACAACCACATCCAAGAAAGTCCCCAAGCCTGACAACCACATCCAAGAAAGTCCCCAAGCCTGACAACCACATCCTACGGGCATCAAGCCTGACAACCACATCCAAGAAAGTCATCAAGCCTTACAACCACATCCAAGAAAGTCATCAAGCCTGACAACCACATACAAGAAAGTCATCAAGCCTGACAACCACATCTAAGAAAGCCATCAAGCCTGACAACCATATACAAGAAAGTCCTCAAGCCTGACAACCACATCCAAGAAAGTCCTCAAGCCTGACGACCTCCAATTAGTTGCCTGTTACATAAGGATTACCAGATACCAACCTCGAATCATCACAATGGTGTGTTACAAGAACGAACACATCTCCTCCTTCAGCCAAACATTTGCCAGTCTTCGGACCCTCGTGGGGAGTCTGGGTCTCTAATGTAGGGCAGGAGACTTTGAGGCACCACACTGGCCTACAGTGAACAGCTGGGAAATATGTAGGGCAATTTAATGCCCTCCATGACCTCTGCGGTTACATACATAGCCATAATTTGCATTTATAAAATATGTTGCTTATATGAACCAGCAACAGCTACAACTTTCTGAGGTTTCAAATGCATGACAAATTGGCGCTTAGCAAGTGGAGGAGGTCAGAGAAAGAGATGGATTTAACATCTCTCATCTCTCTTCCAGCATGGCGTGTCAGCTGTGTGTGTGAGGAAATCCCAGAATGATGAAGGTCTTAAGATGTTTACCAGTTTGGTGAAACTGACCAGAGACAAACAAGAAGCATTATCAATGGTGAACAAGGATTCAAGCAATCGCCAGAATCTTGCTGGTCCAAGGGACATTACTCTGTAGTGCAAACTGTGGCCACTTCAACCCTGAGTTGGTCTGAGAAGCATACTTGTTGCAGCCTATTTCAGTGGATCTCTAAATTCACACTTTATCCAAAACTGTAGCATGTTGGTCAGAACAGTTCTAAACATGACAGTCTCTGTTGATCAGTGTGTGACAAGGGTCTATGATACTCCCACTCAAGTTCTACCATCTCAATAGACATTAAACAATCAACTGTGTCTTGCAACTTGATGACTCAGTGAATGTTATTTTGTGCCAGTAAGCAATATAAGAGCTATATCACAATGGCATATAAACAATCAAGTCTTGACCAGACACACAAGGTGAGGTGAGGTGAAGTGGGGTTTAACGTCGTACTTGAGAATATTTCGCTCATATGACGACGTGCATGCATGTGTATGTGTGGCTGCTTGTACCAGCCCTGACTTAGCCGCAGCTAAGCATGAATATTCAACTCAGACACATTATACTGACTCCGAGCCGACCAGTCCTTGTTGTACCCATTAAGGCCGAGCGCCAGGTAGGGACCAACAAGTACCATATTAAACATCTTTTGGTATGATGCACCCAGGGATCGAACCCGCGACCTTCTGCTCTCTGGGCGACGCTCTAGCCACTACACCTGATTCTCCTCAGCGGCCTGATACTATGACCATGGGATACCAGAGTCCAGTTCTTTTCTGAAATTCCCAAGGCACGATTATTTGGTGTACGCTTAAAGGTAATAAGCATCAGGATAAACCGTTCATTCTTTCAAACCATTCAAGATATCTTCCAAGTGGCTCATTTCCAAGGAACGCACAGGTCGCCCATTTGTGTACGGTGCCACATTTTGATGTGCAGAGTAGTGGCCCTTGTGTGTGCCAGAAGCTTGTGATTGATGGTTCAAATCCCTGAGTTGCTTTGATGATGTTTCTTGGTTTGTCAACATCATAGTTTGAGATTCAACGAAAGTGGTAGACATCTAAGATCTGCATCATATTCCTCCCACATGAAGCTGACATGTTGGGATATAACTGGAACAACGTTGACAACATTGTTAAGTGGCCGTGGGAGAACCGTGAAGTTAAAGCATTTGTTCTTTATGCTGAAGACTTTGCTTTGATTCCCCTCATTGGTACAAGGTGGGAAGCCCATTTCTTGTTTTCCCAACCACAATATTGCTGGTATATTGCAGCATAAAACCATACTCGGGGGCTGCTAAACCCAACTCACTCTTTTCACAGGTTTGCTTGACATAAACTTGTCTTGTTCTGTAGACTTCCACTTCTCATACATTAGTGAAGGAACAATGTTCTATAGCAGATTGTTAGCCATTATTATCATAGCACAAAGACATGATTACACCATCCCAACCTACAGACTGGCTAACCTTAACAAACACCATACCACAAGGATGGCCCTGTGGTCTGAGGTGTACCAATTTGAAGTGCAGAGTTGTGTCCCTTAGGCATGCCCTGACTGTGGGTTCAAACCCCAGTGTGCATCAGTTACATTTCTAGGTTTGTGTGTCAGCACCATACGTGTGCAGGTACGTTTTGCAAAAGTTGTAAATCTCTATTGGCTTTCTTCCTCATTTAGTTGACATGCCATGGCAGAACCGAACAATCCTCGAAGCAATGTTAAACCCAAATCGCTCCCTCCCTCCCTCACTCCATGAGTTTGAGTTCATTCTGAACTGCTATGATGAAACCTGCCTGCACTCACGTATGTCTGAAGTGATATTTTACCTGTGGGCATCATCAGTCGGTGACAACTATCTGTGAACTACACATCACAAGGGTCTGCAACAAATTGCTCATTTGTAGTGTGTCCCATTGCTGGGTACAGTTGTTACCAATTACTGGGAGACCTGTGACAGAGCCTATTGACAACCCACTTGATGACAACAATGCTAACACTGCTTCAAGGAATCACCTGTGTTGACTTGCACTCTCAGCAATAGCTGCTTCTGCACCGTGTCACCCTGCCCGGTGGTACAGCTCCTTACAGGTTAGACCTTGTCTGTGTGAGACATCTGGAGTATAGCTTGGGGTACTGCTCCTTACAGAGTCAACTGTACCGCTATTTGAGGTCTTGAGTATAATTGTCTCTGCTAGACCAGGTTCATGTAGCTATGTCTGAGGGTCCTTGTCAAAACTATGATATTTTAAGTTACAGGAAGATGTTTTGAGTCCTAGCATTAAAAAACAAACCTGTCAAACCTAACGGACCCCAGGTCACAGAGGAAGCCCATGTCCATGACAGTGATTCAAGCCTGGAATAAAGTGTCAACCTTGGAAAAGGGGAATTAGTGTGAATGGGCTTCCTACATCTTAGCTGTCACTCAGGTGGGGAATCAAACCTGGTGAGTCAAACAAACACTGAACTCCATGATGAGGTGCATTCACTGACCTGCAAGTACTGAGCCAGCTGATAGAGGTCCTGGGACTGGATGGTAATGCCTGGTGGACAAGGGGCGTTCAGGAACGGACTGCAACAGAAGGAACAGCTGAAACGTCTTCCAAAACAAAATACATTCAAACTGTTTTGCTTGTTTGTTAGTTGTTTAACGCCATGTTCAGCGTTATTCCAGCTATATGGCGAGTTCTGTAAATAATCGAGTCTGGACCAGACAATGCAGTGATCAACAACATAAGCATCATTCTACCCATAAGGAATATGATAACGTGTCAACCAAGTCAGCGAGCCTGACCATCCCATCCCGTTAGTCGCCTCTTACAAGCATAGGTTGCTGAAGACCAGTTCTCCATCCTAAATAACTTACCAATAGTTTCAAAAGAACAAAGTCAGTGTCAGTTTGCTTTGAAATATTATCCATCACACAACGACTTGAAACATTTACGTATATCTCCCATATCATTTTTCATCTTCAGGAGTAATGTTACAGACGTCTAGAGCCAGACCTGTTGCTCACCAAGTTTACATCCTCAGTACAGATTTTTCCAACATACTAAGGAAAAATGTGTCAGACCTCCTATGGGAATACGATCTCCTTTGGTAAGTTATATAAAGATACTAGGCTTGGCATCAAAGCAAGCTTGGTTGTTAATATGCACTAGACATCAACAGGTGCTTGCTTGATCAGTGGCATGTTTGGAAGGCCATGATTCATGAAACTCATCATCACACCTAATCATGTTTATCACTAACTTACTCATCTTCATATCCATGGATACCACTTCTCAACACAGCTTAAAACACTGAACGATTCATAAACAATTTCTCAACACAGCTAAAACGCTGACATTTTATATTTAGGATAATTTCTCTCAACTTCATGTAAAGACCTCAGTAGTTTATATTCTAATTAAGGGCTTTATAAATATCCCAGAGTTCGGGTTTGGACCATGTTGACACAAAATAGGCACACTATCCTTATTGCCTTATCTTTTTTCAGCCAACATTGTCTATACATTGTACATCAATAAAATGTGTCTGTGTGTTATAAGGGTCATTGAACAATTGGTATCCATCATAAGGTTTTATCTGACAAAGAGTGAGTGAGTTTGTTACGTTTTAGGCCACTTCAAGCAATATTCCAGCAATATCATGGCAGGGGACACCAGAAATGGGCTTTACACATTGTATCCATGTTTGAAATAAAACCTGTGTCTTTGGCATGACGAGCTAACGCTTTAACCACAAGGCTACCCCACCACCCCTTCACCATAGTGGTAAAGACCATCATTTTGGGTGTGAATCAAGTTCGCCTTGACTGCTGAGCATTGTGGTCTTGAGAATGATAAGCTGCGTTATACAGCATTCATATATAACAGAACTGCCCCATCCTATCTCAAACCTCAAATAACATTACTGACTGACTGTGTTTGGTTTTACGCCGCTTTTAGCAATATTCCAGCAACATCACGGCGGGGGACACCAGAAATGGGCTTCACACATTGTACCCATGTAGGGATTCGAACCTGGGTCTTCGGCATTACGAGCCAACGCCTTAACCACTAGGCTACCCCACCGCCCTCAAACAACATTAAGCTATTATGAATTTCCATCTTCAAAGTCCTTGAAAACAAGTGTGGACTTGTAACAATATTTCTCTGGTACCTATTGACACTGATATCAATAACAGTGTGCTATCTTCAAAATGTCAAGTACGAAATCACTCATCCAACAAAAAGCATCCTCAGAAGACCTTGGCCAAGATAATTGTCATCAATAGATGAGGACTGCCCCATCTAACTGATACAATCTACAAACACAAAAACATTCTGTATGCATACTGGCTTTATCATCTGCAGTGACATCAAGTCTATTGAAGATAACTGGAGCTTGTTCCCCTCAACATACAATCAACATAGATGAACAACCTATAGGTTGCTAGCTTGATGTCTGCTGTCCCAAAATGATTACATCAAAATATACACACACTTTTCTCATTGTTGAACATATATAGAGAAAAAACTAAAATGAAATGAGTTTTGGGGGTAATTTTCACACTTAAACAGATTGAGGATTTCAAACCAAACACAATGAATACTTGGTTCCAGCAAAAGCTGATAGAAAAACCACATTTGATCAGGTAAGTGTTTCACATGTGTCTTTTCACCTTAATACGATGCGGGGCGTTAACCTCAAGAGATACATTTGGTGCAAAGCAATCGTAGCACAAAGGTGATTGTAACTCCCATACCTTAACATAGACTTACGGCAGTGGTTGCGGTAAGGTTGCTTTGTTCAAAGCCACACTGGTCAAACAAAATCAGGGCTTGGTCAGCTAACAGATTATTCCACCTTGATTCAGTTATTCTCTACTGTTTCCTCTACTCATCACCTGACAGAAACAGGCCCTTGGTAGACTTCACCAACTAATGACTGTGTCCACAATATTGCTGCTTCTATCACATGATGGGGAAAATAGCCTAGCTTTGCACATGTTTCACAACAATGAGGTTTTGTCGGTAACAACAACTTCTTGTTTCTCCAGTCATCACCAAACAGAAAGTCACCAAGTAGCCTTTGTTCACTAATGAAAATGTCTCACTGTTGCTGCATCTTCTACAAGATGGAACAGTTGCCCATCCCAGAACATCACAAGGTCCATCTGTTTAGTTTTTACCAATATTTCCCTAGATTTTAACCTGTTAGAAAGAGTTACCTGAACAGGTGCTCCCTACTGATGAACAGATGATGGAAACAGTAGCCAAACCCTGAGCTTCATAACCTTCAGGTCCATCTGCTCATTCCTTACTGTTAACTTTACTAAGACTTGTAACAAACAGTTACCTGGACACCTTCCCATCCTAATTAAAGTGACAGTTTTGCTGCATCCAACACAGGATGGAAACTACAGCCAAACCCTGAGCTTCACAACCAAGAGGTCCATCTGCTCATTCCTTATTGTTTACTCCACTGCGATTTGATACAAATAGTTACCTGGACAGGTGCTCCTACTACCCCTGCTACATCCAACACAAGATAGAAACTACAGCTTAGCCGAGCTTCACAATTATAATATCTCACCTGCACCTTCACATAACAGAAACAGTACCCTTGCCTTGAGTTTCACAACACACAGATCCATTTGCATAGTCCTTACTGTTAATTCCCACTGTTCCACCTCAATAGAAGACCCCAGTTGCATCTACACATGATGTACCTGCCCTCCATCATATCCTTACTGTTAATCCCACTCTTCCATAGCAATCTGTCACATAATAAAGTCAATTACTGGCCTCCTGGTCTCCAGCATGGAGGATGTCCTCCATACAGGTAAAAGTGAATGAGATTCTGTTACCTTCCTCAACCTATGGTTATTCATGCAAGCCCTAACCCCCTGCCACACAGTGCAGCCATTGTCCTCCCTGTCTACAACGTGACCTTGATTTAATCACCGCAACATCATTTGCAAATTACACATAGGGCTAACAATAAAACTGGCTTTTAAATGTTTTTAACTTCGTTCATCCATATTCAGCTTTGACTGGTCTTAACATCAAACAGTAAATATTGGTTGAACATGTCACAAGGTGGCAAAAAGTGATTAACAAAAACTTAAGTTAATCCTGTTTGGTCTTCAAGACCGAAAACACAAATGTTTGGCTGGAACAAGAAAATTAGAAAAAATCACGTGTTTTGACAATGAAAAAATATGTGTTTTTAACAGCTGGGAAAATACATAGGAGTCAGTTTTCAGTTTCTTGCAATAGGCTATAAACTGCAGCCTTGTCAAATCTAATTTAAAAAATGTGCTCAGTCAACAATAGAGATCAAAATTACAGTCTAGCAGTGTAACAGATTTGTCTCTCAATATATATACTTTTGATAGAAACAAATAAACCCATTTCAACTGAAAAGGAGCCCCAGAACCTGGGAAATCTAGACTTGCTTCACTTTGGGCTTTAACATTGTAGGGCCAGGCACTAGGGAAAATATTGTGGTTCAGGGACTGTGAGACTGACTATGTAGCAGGATGTACTTTGCCGTGTAGCATCAAGTCTACATTGTGTATACCATGATCTCCATAAACATCACATCCACCTGAGACATTTACAATCACTGTAATGTGTCTGCCTGATAGTAGTTCTGTCGTATCTCCAGCCTCCCTCAAGATAAGAGCTGCACAACCATGACAGACACCTCCATTGTCTATTCAATAACAGATTCATATCAAGAAGGCCAAGGCCACTATGTGGGTCCCTTGCACTATTCTGGCCATCTAAACTGGGCAACTTTCAGTGAGTTGTGTCTAACACAGCTTTGAACAGTATCTCAGCTATATAACAGCATGTCTGTTTGTTCTGAAAATATAGGCAAAATGATGGTCTTTGTTTCCATGGTGAAGGGTTGGTGGGGTAGTGCAACAGTTAAGGCATTTGTTCATCATGCTGAAGACCCGGGTTCAATTCCCCACATGGGTACAATGTGAAGCTCATTTTGGTGTCACCCATTCTGATTGTGCAGGAATATTGCTAAAAGCGGCGTAAACCCCAACTTGATCACCTTGATCGCCATTGGGGCTGACAAACCAAGACACATAAGGTGAACCTATGAATTAAAGTGAGTGAGGAGTTGGGTTTTATGCAGACCATAACAATATTCAAGCAATACCATGGTTGGGGATAGCAGATATGGGCTTCACACATTGTACCCATGTTGGGAATCAAACCCCCAGGTCTTCAGTGTGATGAGCAGATGCTTTAACCACTAGGCTACACCACCACCCGTGTAAATTACAACCTTTGATGCTGCACATCCAAGGGACAGAACTGTGCACAGTGGATTGCACGGCCTCAGGCGACTGTATCACACGTATTCTGGAATACTTTGTAATTAATTCTGTTGAACATACTGATAAAATTAACTACTACAGTCATTACAAAACCGTAACAAAGAACCACATAGTCACCCCTGTATATCCCACAAGGACTGTCTGTATCTCTTCAAACCAGTAGAAGATTCTTTTTCTTCGCAACTCTATTGTGTGTTTTACACTGACTGACTGACTGAGTTTGG